CTGCAGGCGGTCCCTACACGGGCTGGGGAGCCTGAGGGGGAGGTGGTGTGAGGAGGGCTGCCAGTGTGTCTGAGCCTCAGCTGGTGGGGGCCATGCCCCAGGCCCACGATGAACCTGGAAGGGCTGGAGATGGTTGCTGTGCTTGTGGTCCTCGCCCTGTTTGTCAAGGTCCTGGAGCAGTTTGGCCTTTTTGAGCCTGTCTCCTTGGAAGGTAACCCAGGTGTCTGGCTGGGTCTGGGCTGCTGACTGGAGGAGCAACCGCCCGCAGCGCTGGGGAGGGCGTCACTCTGCTTTTATGACTGGGGGCAGGGGTAAACATGTTAGTGATGGGACAGGGCTTCTGGGGGAGGTGTGGAGGGGAACAGGACATCTGAGAGAGCTAAAGAGGGAAATTCAAGGAGTGGGACTGGGGGAGGGGCTTCTAGGGGAGGTGAGGAGGGAATCTGGGGGTTGGGTGTCTGAGGGAGGTGAAGAGAGAGGGCCAGGGGCCAGGGTGTTTTGGGGGGGGTGATGAGGGGCACAGCATGGGAGAACTGGGGTATGGAGATGAGGGGTATCTATCGGGGACATGAGGAGAGGTCTGGAAACAGGCAGGGCTATCAGGAGTAGAGGAAGGAGGTTCCAGGGATCCTGAGATTAACACCAGACTTCGGGGGGGTCCCTTTGGGGCCAGGGGCCCACCGTGGCTCTGAAGACGTGTGTGACTTTCCACACTTCCATCCTTGCAGGTGTAGAGATACAGGGGTGTGACCATGTGTTCATCTGTGTGAAAAAGGACAAAGTGTGTGACTGGGTGAGCCTTTGTATGTGACAGGGATGTGATTTAATGTGTCAGAAGGAAAGGGTATGTGGCTTTGTGAGATGGTGAATATGACTGCCTGAGGGGGACAGGTTGTGTGGCTGGGCCCCTTTGGGTACTGGATTGTGTGTGTGGCTGTTCCCAGAGTTCCCTGAGGAAATACCAGCTCCATACTCAAGGCTTGGGATGGGGGTGGGTTCAGGAGGGACACAAGTGGGAACACTGTGAATGAGACATTTATAGATCAGCTCTGGCAGGAGGGTGAGGGGTAGAACAGATCAGGGACCTTGCTTCCCAGGCCCCCTTGCCCTCCCAGTTTGTCTCAGGATCTCCAGGTCCTGGGCATTGGAAATGAGAAATCACTTCTCCACATCACCCCAAAGTTGAGTGGAGAGAGTGATATTGGAGATACAGAGGGGAGCATGTTCTGCCTCCCCTGAGAGATTTGGCCTCTCCTTCCTCTTCACACCAAGAACTGTGCAGCTCCATAGCACAGCTATTCTCTAGTTCCACCAGGGACAGGAAAATAGGCAAGAACGGTGATAGGAGGGTTATAGGGTAGACACCGGGGAGAACTGAAAGTGGCTCTGGAGACAAGATGAAGGGCCAATGAATTGCCTGCTCTAGGGTTCAGTAAGAGCAGGAAACCCCCAACTTACCTTCCATCCTCTGCTGCATTTATCAGAGTGGGGTGGGTAGCAGGTTGGTCCTAGATGAACTAGGGTTCATCCAATCCTGAAACGATGAAGTCCATTTGGCTCTGACGTGCCGTGCCATGCCCTTTAGACTGTTTGGTGGGAAAAGGGGTCATCCAGGAAACCCAGGTGTTCTGTAGGCTGAAGGCAGCCCTTTCCCTTCCCACCTTTCAGAGGAGCCTAGAGGAAACGGAGTCCTGGGAGCAGGGAGGGGACCAGGGAAGGGGGGGAAGTGTGAAGACCGGGAGGTTGGGAGAGGCGGCGGTGCCGTCCCCCTCCCCCCGCCCTTCCCAGTCCAGCTGCGACCACACCACCGGAGGCCCCAGACGCAATCCGGCTTCGGGAAACCAGAGTCGGGGCTAATGGAGCCCTGGGCTGGGGGCCAGGCCGCCATCGATCCCCTGCTCGGTCCATGGTCTCCCTCCTACCTCTCCATAGCTCTGCGGGGGGAGGGGAAGAAAGGAAGTATCGGAGGGGGAGGCGTTGACTTTAAGCACTTACCTCCTGGGAGTAGGGCCGGGTCCTGAAGGGTGGAGCCTGGTGGGGGGGGCGGGGCCTGCGTGGGAGCTGGGATGCCCTAGTAACCTACAACCCAAGGAAGTTGGGCCCCTCCAGGAATGGACTGATCAGCGTGCTAGGGCCCTGTGGACTCTGGTCCTGGAGTCTGGAGGTGGGTGCTGCGGGAGACAGGCACACCAACGCAGAGCCCTCCCTGGGATGCAATTAGAGCTGTAGGACACAGGTGTAAATAAGGGGAAGTGAGGGGAGCTGTGGTCAGTGGCTCTGGATAGCCCCACATTACAAAAAATACTCATCTCCAAGGTCTGTTATTGCTTCAAAGTTTGCTATCATGTCACCTTCAAAAACATGAGAGGGGGCACACTTTTAGGGTGGGTGAGTTAGCTGATGAGGAACTTTGTTCCACTGGTAGGGAGATTCCAGGTGCTCTGGGATGAGGGGTTCTAGGAAGGAAAGGTGGGCAGAACAAACATGGGTTCTGTTGGTGATGTGCAGTCTTAGGTAACTGGGCACCTAAGTCACAATATGATATGGGTATGTGTCGTGGTGACCTTGATATGTGTCATAATGTTATAGGGTCACAGTATATTATAGTGTGCTTAACACACCGTGTCATGATGTCCCATGTGCTTTTGTATGGTTTGATCATGCTGCATGTAAGATGGCCTATGTGGGTCCTCATGTGTGTGTGTCGTTTTTCCTAGGCGACATTTGTATGTTTGTATCAAGGAATTCTATGTCAAAGTGTGTGTGTGCCTGCGTGTGTGTGCATGTGTTGGGCCTGCTTGATTAGGCCATTGGGTTTGAGTGAGTTGCTGGGTATCAAGCTGTCCTTGTATGGCATCCATCACTGTGATTTATCATTCTGTGTGTCACTGTACACGCTTGTCACTGTGTGCGTGAGAGAGAGAGAGAGAGAGACAGAGACAGAGAGGTGTTCCTACCCAGGCAGTCCTTGGGTTGGATGTCACCCTCAGACGTCCAGCTATAGCACCGGAGCCAAGGGCACTGGGTCAGCAGGCACTGAGGCCAGTGCCACCTCCCCTTGGTGGCCTCACTGTCCCCAACTGCGTCCCATTATACAAGATGCCTGAGTGGACTTTTTATGCCTGTGAAACCCACTGGGCTGCCCTCGCCCAGCCCCAGCTATTCTCACCATTCTCTTCCAGTCCTCTCCCAACACCCCTTCCCCTCAGGGTTGATTTGTGATGGTGGGGAGGGGAACGGAGGGATAGTAGAGGTTAATGTGCCTTCCTGGGGTCTTCTCTCTTCCCAGGCCACCCTCCAGGGCCCACTAAAAAAGCGCTGAAGCAGCGGTTCCTCAAGCTGCTGCCTTGCTGCGGGCCCCAGGCCCTGCCCTCAGTCAGTGAAAGCAAGTGCCTCTCCTGTGCTTCCGGGGGCGGGGCCCGTGTGTGTCGGGGTGTGGCCAGTGTGACAGAAGCGGGCCTGCGTGTGTGTGTGCGTGTGCGTGCGCGCGCGTGACCGGTGGGGGTGGGTGGGCGCCGGTAGGTGCCAGTGTGGGGAGGGCCTAGCTTCAGTGCCAGGAGCAAGCGGAATGTGGGGCGTGGCCAGTTTGGGGGCGGGGCCCAAGTGTCTGTGGGCGTCACGGCTCAGCAAAATGAGTGAGCCCCGGTGTTTGGGCGTGGCCAGTGTGGCAGGGCTGAGGCCTGAGACTATGTGGGTACGGCCAATGTGGCCGAGCAAGACCAGTCTGCTGTGAGGTCTGTGCGTGGCTTAGTGTCTGCGACTGTGGCCGCCCGCTTTGTCCTGGGGAATGTTTTGGGCCTGGAGATGCATGTCGTCCCTGCCCTGACTGGATGGATGCAGGTGCCTACGATGGATCCCGTCTTCCTCCAGATGCAGGACACTTGGGTTTTCTAGTCCCAGCCGGGCCCGAGTTGAGGGGCCTCACTTTGTCTCCAGGCCTGTTTCCTCAATTGGGCCTTGCCCTCCCCATAGGATCATACTGAATTTTGCAAGCCACAGAGACCCATTTTGTAGTTATTGGAGAGTGTCATTGTGTTTGATTCCACTGGGTCCCACATGGGGGTAGATTCGGGAAAATGACAGGCGTGAGCCCAAAAGCATGTGGGGGGGGGGTCTGTTTCGTGTGTGTCTGTGCTCGTTCATTATTTGTGCCTCTGCGCGTGGGGCTGGGTGTGTGTGCATTGTAACACGCAGGTCTGTGAGATTTGCTGTTGCGTGTGAGGGGCGAGGTGTGTGTCTGCAGTTGGCCGGGTCTTCCACTTTCTCGGTGACAGTTCGCTCCCTTCAGCATTAGCAGTCCCAGCTTCCCTCCGCCCCCACAGACCCCGCCCGCTGGACCCAGGTGACTTACTGTCCTGGTGGGGGCGGGGACGGGGGCCTTCGGGAGCGTGGGGTGGGGGCACTTGCCTGGGGACTGGATGTTGGGAGCCTGGGGCAGGACTGAGATGGGGCCAAGGGATGAAGCCTTAGCTAAGGTTTACTGGGAGCAGGATAGGGGTGGGGTCTGGATGGGCTTGGCTGGAGCTGGGCGGGGCATGGCTCGAGCATGGCTGGGATAGGCGGGGATTGGCTGGAGAGAAGGATCTGGGCGGGGCAAGTGTGGGGCTGGGCGGACCTGAGTGGGTCAGGGAAGGCCCGGAGCCTGGACCCTCAGACGCTTCCTCTTGAACCTATTCTTTCTACTCCTCCCTTCCCGGGATGAAGATGGGGCTGGGGGCCTTCCCCTTCAACGAGGGCCAAGGGCCCGGGGGCCAGCGATGAGTCGGACCCCTGGCTCCAGGGCCAGGCCTGCCCATGGGCCCAGCCACCTGATAGACCTGGAAGCCGACCAGCGTCTTCTCCTTGCCTTGATATCCTCAGACCGGGGTCCAAGGAACTGGCAGGCTGGTCTCTGGTGTTGGAGATGGGGAGGATGGGTGGGTCGGTGGTTTTGAAGAGGGTTCGTGGAGGCCGGGCCTGAGGCGCGGCTGTTCCCCCCTCCCCACACTGCCCCCCTGCAGACAGCGTGGAGGATGAGTTTGAACTGTCCACGGTGTGTCACCGGCCAGAGGGTCTGGAGCAGCTGCAGGAGCAAACCAAGTTCACACGCAAGGAATTGCAAGTCCTGTACCGGGGCTTCAAGAATGTGAGTGCAAAGCAAGGCCAAACTGGGTGAGGGGCCGGGCCTATCTCGGACTTCTAAGATTGGCCTGGATGCTTGAGGAATATGAGAGGGAAGGGGAGGAGGAGGGACCCCTCTTCCCCAGAGACCAAACTTCTAGCCCGAGGCTCCTGCCAATTTGAGGCAAGGTGGAGCCTGTAGACTGGCCTGCTGGTTAGTTCCATTTTTTTAAACTTGTGCACTGAGAAGTCTTGCTCTCCTTAAAAGAACTGCATGGTGAGCCCCCCGAAGACAGGAAGCTTTTCCTTCTCTGGGAGCCTCTGGCATGGAGTAGGTGGTGGTTAGTAGAAGGGGGTTTTGTTTCTGCACTCCATCTGGTTTCTAACTTTCCTCCTACCTCCCAGGAATGTCCCAGTGGAATTGTCAATGAGGAGAACTTCAAGCAGATTTACTCTCAGTTCTTTCCTCAAGGAGGTGAGAGGACAAGGCCTGAGAGGAAGCAGCTGTCCATCTCTAGGCTGAGTTGGGGAGAGGGTTCTGGAGGGGCTGGGAATGCCAAGTAATAAGAGGGGTTCGGGGAACCCCATAGAAGTAGGAAGTCCTCTCCCGTCTGGAAGCCAAACTTATCTACGCTTATCCTACAGACTCCAGCACATATGCCACTTTTCTCTTCAATGCCTTTGACACCAACCATGATGGCTCTGTCAGTTTTGAGGTGAGCTGGAGGAGGTGGGTCAGGGAGGCCTGCTTCTTGGGGCTTCAGGGCCAGGATCCACAAGCCAAACCCATATTGGGGATTGGGTAAAGGGTATCTGAAAATACAGTTCCCCCTTGTCTCCTTCCCAGGACTTTGTGGCTGGTTTGTCGGTGATTCTTCGGGGAACCATAGACGACAGACTAAACTGGGCCTTCAACTTGTATGACCTTAACAAAGATGGCTGCATCACCAAGGAGGTGTGGAGCAACTGAAGAGTTGGAGAGCTTTTATGTGTGGGGGGAGGTGCATAGGGCCCTAAGGAGGAAAATGTGACCCATGCATGCTTCACCAGCAAGGGGTGAGGTCTGCCCTAGGCTCTAGGCCTCCTGATTTGGAGGCTGGAGGCTCTGAGGAAGGATCCTTTTCTTTCTTGGCCTAACAGGAAATGCTTGATATCATGAAATCCATCTATGACATGATGGGCAAGTATACTTATCCTGCACTCCGAGAGGAGGCCCCAAGGGAGCACGTGGAGAGCTTCTTCCAGGTGCCTGGGACTGGGTAGGCTGGAGGGTCCTGGAGTGAAGGGAAGGAGGCAAGGTCCTGGCAGGGAACTTACCTGAATTCTGCCTGCCTCTCTCCTGTCATCCCTCCTGTTCTCTCTACCTGACTACCTTTTTGCAGAAGATGGACAGGAACAAGGATGGCGTGGTGACCATTGAGGAATTCATTGAGTCTTGCCAAAAGGTACAGACCCCTGCCCTCCACATTTCCATGATCTGGACTCAGGGTCCAATTCAGTGATGTAGGAGAAAGCTCCTTTGGGCAGAGTATCGTCTCCCTAACTTGCCCATACTCCCAACAGGAACTTGTCCTGTTCCTCCACAACTCGGGGAGGCCTGTCCCTTCCCTACTTCAGATCTCTCTGGGTGTCTCCTTCCTTGCCGCCTCTCTCTGTCTCTGAATGTCCCCATTTCAGGTGAATGTCCCTCTCTGTGTCCCTGCTAAGCTCTTTTTTATTTCTCTCTCTCTCTCTCCAATCTGCCTCTCCCCCACCATGGCTACAGGACGAGAACATCATGAGGTCCATGCAGCTCTTTGACAATGTCATCTAGCTCCCCAGGAAAGGGGGTCAGTTGTCCTGGGGGGACTATACTCTAGCCCTAGTCCAGGTGGAACTCACCCTTCTCTTCCCAGGTCTGTCCTCATCCTAGCTGGGCCCTGGGGGCTGTAGGAATCTAAGAGTCTGGGGATTCAGTGGTCCAGATTGCTGGAGCTAAAGGGGCCAGGGCATGGGCAGAGTGTATCTGTGGGGTGTTCCCAACTCCCAACAGCTCCCACCCCCTTCCTGCCTGACACTCAGTGCTGAGGGTACCCCCGCTATAGGAAATAAATGGTCTCCACCGTCCATCCCCACTCTAGAAACTACAACACTAGACAGAATGTCTCCGGCTATGGTGCTTTCCCTATCCCTGACCTCATATGCATTTCCTCTAAGATTTCCTTCTCAGAGAGTCTGTTCTGTCTATGGCACTGACTGGCCTTTCAGACCAGGGCCTTTGAGAGCCTTATAGGAGGAGGGACAAGAATGGAGAGGGAGAAATCTTAGGCCTGAGCCAGGTGGTTAGGTCATAGGTGGCTGGGGTAGAGTGCAGAAAGGCCTGGAGATTGTCAGTGACAGCTCAGGCATGCCAGACTATAGCTCTGAGCTCCATAGGTCTACCACCCCCAGGCTATCAGAATTTGGGTTCCAGGCCCTTCAGAAGACTCTGTCTCCTTCGAAATGCCCCAGAAATTTCCATACTCTCCTCAGTATTCCAGGAGAGCCTGGGATCCTGATGTCTGGCTCATGCCTGGAATTCCTTCCTCTCCTTCCTTCCTGTTTGTGTGGGTGGTGGCAGCAGCAGGGGAATATGGGTGGGAGATGTCCCAGCTGATACCTGCCAAAGTTTCAGGCTACCCTGTCTGAAGGCTACAACTTAAGTTTTTATTTGCCATTTCTTCTAGACTTGGAGGCATGGAGTGAGTCAGGGACCATCCAGTGGATGCCTTAGAAGAAAGGGGAAGGAGGGAGGCAGGCATAGCATCTGAACCCTGTGAGGGGGGGCATTCACTAGAATCTTTGATCTACCCAGGCTCTATTCCAACCCCCCACATAGTCTCCTCAATTCCTACTTAGGGTCTTCTTTTGCTCTATTCAGTCTACCCAGAGATGCCCCCGTACACACCTAGAAGGCAGGGACCACTCTTGCCATGCTGCCACCCTTTAATATACCTGCTCGTTCCATTTAGCTCACCCTCCCAGTCAGTCAGGATCTGAGGGGAAGGGCCCCGAGGGAGCCCCCTTTCCCATCAGAACACTGTTGACTGCTTTGCATTTTTGGCTCCTCTGTATATTTTGTAAAATAAAAAAATACACCAATCCAATAAAACACAATGGCTATGCACAGGCTGCTGTCTCTGCCTTTTTGTCCCTCCTGCTCCACACATACCTCACAACACTAATTCCTGTACCTACAGTAGCCTTTTAGATTCCAAAGAAAGTGCCTCTCTTTTTCATAGCATAGCCAACCCTTGGCAGGAGATTGAGACACAGGTTCTGGAAGGGTTGGAAACCTACCTGACCTCAGAGAGGTCCCCATGTGAATCTCTCTCCCACATCCTTAGAGGAGATGAGAGACAGGGTGTTAATATCCCAAAGATTATGCCAAACCAGCTGTCTTTTGGCTAGACATTCTTACAAGTTGAATCAAAAATTTCTAATTTACAGACATCTTAGTTAACCTCAAAGTGCTTTCTTTGGAGGGGGGATTCCCTTTAGTTTCTAAAGAAAGTTCCTTTGTGTAAACATCCCAACCTTGCCTCCAATATGGACATAGTTTGTGTCTATACTCCAGCCAAGAATGATGAGGGATCAGATGGGGTGGACCGAGGCACCATGGAGCAAGTGACACAAAGGGTAATAGAGACTTCCTATGTGGAATGGCTGCCTTTCTTTGTGCTGTTTCTGGAGAGGGGCCACCAGTGGTAGGTTCATCCCATCCTTTCTCTAGGGCACCATTATATGGTGACTAAGCTTCACCATCCATAGAAGGGGGAATCAGGCCTTCTCTTCCATCACTGTACACATTGACAAGGTCAACGGAGGAGTATGGTGTCCAAGAGAGAAAAACTTACTTTCACAAGCCATCATTTTGTCATCTGTGTTTCCTGCTCACATTATCACACAACTATCTGCTCCATAGGATTTCTTTGGGTCACAGCCCCTCTAAAGGATCTGATGGAAGTTATGGGCCCACTGTCCCTATATTTTTGTATCCCTGAAGCCCGGTCATGGACCTGAAGTTAAGAACCTGTGGTCTAGTCTTTTCTCTCAGCCTTCCATTGTACATAAAAGGAAACAGCCCCAAAGAGGGGAGAGGACCTGCTCAAGGTCACCTAGTGAGTTTATAGGAGGATTGAGACTAGACCCGGTCTCCCAAGTCTCTGTCCAGGTTGCCTTGGGACATAGTGAAGATTTGTGAGTGAAAGATGGATGCTATGCATATCATGCAGAGTCTAAACAATTGGCACTGTGACAGGCTCTCATGGTACCCTCTACTTGTCCTTTGTGGCACTTCTCCGTTTGTCACTATATATTTATTTGAGTGATTATCTTCTTTGATACACCATAAGCTCCTGAGGGCTCCCTGAATGCCTGGACTAGGTTTCTTGCCCCCACCCCCACCATCCTATCCTTGAGGCCTAGCATATAATAGGTATTCAATAATTATATAATTGTATGATTGGATGAATGAGCATGGTGATTGTGTGTATGTATCTCAGGTATGGAGATGGTCTCTATGTTTTAGGGTAGATTCAAGTTTAAGGGAAGTTGAAGTCTGAGGCTGAGTGAGGTGAGAAGTGTCCCAGAACCAGGGAACACAAATGGGATCCAGAAAAAAACAGCAGGTTGGCATTCTGATAATTTTTTTCTGGCCACTGGTTGGATTCTGAACGTTGTCAACTGCTCCTTCTCAAAACACTCTTTTCATGCCTTCTGGTATTTCATACTCTCCTGGTTTTCCTCTTACCTTTCTGGCCACTGCTTCTCCGCACCTGCTTGGAGACTCATCCTTTTCAACTGGAATTCTAAACGTTGAGCCCCATAGCTCAGACCTGAGTCCCTTCTCCGAATCACATCCAGTCCCATGGCTCTAAATGCCATCTATATGTAAGGGATTCCTAAATTTATATCCTCAGAATTCTCTTCTGAGCTTCAAAACCCATATATCCAATTGCCTATTTGACATATTCATGTGGACCTGTAATGGTCAAACTTAACGTTCATTTTTTTAAAAAGGTTTTTATTTATTTATTTGAGAGAGAAAGAGAACACAAGCACCGACTGAGCCACCCAGGTGCCCCATTTTAAAAAAATTTTTAGGGGCGCCTGCGTGGCTCAGTCGTTAAGTGTCTGCCTTTGGCTCAGGTCATGATCCTAGGGTCCTGGGATCGAGCCCCACATCGGGATCCCTGCTTGTCGGGAAGCCTGCTTCTCCCTCTCCCACTCGCGCTGCTTGTGTTCCCTCTCTCGCTGTGTCTCTCCTTCAAATAATATTAAAAAATTAGATATTATTTGACAGAGAGAGAAAAACTTAACATGTTCAAAATGGAGTTTTGATTCCTCCTTTTTCGGTGTTTCCATCTTAATAAATGACACCATCTACCTGGTTGCTCAGGTCTTTAGTAGTCTTCATTTTTTTCTCTCCCTCTACTCCTTTATTTTTTTATTATTATATTTTAAGTAATCTCTATGCCTAACATGGGGCTTGCACTCATGATTCCCAGGCTCTACCAACTGTGCCAGGTAGGCACCCCCTCCCTCTACTACTTTAATCAGTCACAATTCCACCACCAAAGGTGCACTGCCTGTCTCCACTGCTCTTTCCTAGGCCAAGCCATTATCATGGTTCACTCACAGATTCCTAGTTATTTTTCATCTGAAGTAGCCCTTCCTTGCTGTGGTTACTCTTTATCACATTACTTGATTTCCTCCCTTCATGGCACTTATTACAAACTGAGACACTGTGTATGTAATGAATTTATTATTGTATGTTTCTCTAATCAGAATTTAAACTGTGGGGCGCCTGGGTGGCTCAGTCGTTAAGCGTCTGCCTTCAGCTCAGGTCATGATCCCGGGGTCCTGGGATCGAGCCCTGCATCGGGCTCCCTGCTCCACGGGAAGCCTGCTTCTCCCTCTCCCACTCCCCCTGCTTGTGTTCCCTCTCTCGCTGTGTCTCTCTCTGTCAAATAAATAAATAAAATCTTTAAAAAAAAAAAAAAGAATTTAAACTGTGAGTGCAGAGCCCTATTTCATTCATTCCACAAGTATTTATCATGGGCCTACTAACCTCTGGTTCCTGTTGGAGATACTAGGGGGTAGAGGTGTGGTTTGGGGAGAGAGTGTGTGGCAGGAATTTCCCTTCAAGTTTGAAAGGTGCAGATATGGAAAGTGGATCTTGCCCAGGCCATGGACCCCAGAGTCTGGACAGTGGATGAAATAGCGGCTGCTGACTTGCTAGCAGTTGCCAAGCATGAGGCAAAGATGAAAGTGTCATGAGATTAAGGGCTGAGGTCAGCTGGAATGATAACCCCAAATCCTCCAAGGGACCACAATATCCACTGAAGCTGCTTATGGCCTCCAACTGGCATCACAAGAGGTCCCCTAAGAAAATGCTTGCCTCTAACCCCCATCTCAACACCCCAGGACTAAAAAGAAAGAGGGACTATAAGAGCCCCTGGAGCTACAAGTTGGGCTACCGCTGGAGTTGAAAATATTGACAATACTAAGTCTTAATGATCAGAATGAGACTGAGATGCTCATTTCACATTTACACCTCGCAAGCTGAAACAGATCTCTTAACCTACGTAAATGTAAATAATGTAAATAAAGTGCGTATGACGGGACTACAGGGAGTTCTGAGCACAAATGGCCGCAAGAGGACCCAAGTCCATCTAGGGCTCAGGGAAGGATTCCTTAAGGAAATGATGTTTATGCTAAGGCCCAAGGATTTCACACAGTTCACGCTCCCCATTCCCAAAGATGCCAGGCCTTTTCACCCCTCGCCACAATTGTACTCTGTTCCACCAGCCTGGAGTGCTCTCTTCGCTTCCCCTCTATTCAGTCTCACTCCTACTCGTCCTTACGTTCTAACTCAAAAGCAAAGCATGGCTGCCACCTCTCACCAAAGGAGGATTAAGTCAGTTCCTCCTCTGAGTTCCCGCAACACTTGGGTACACCATGTGGGGATTGTGCATGTACTTGCTTGTCTCCACCACCACACTGTGAGCTCATAGTGGCCCAAGAGCCCAGCAAGAGGCAAGCTCAATTGGTCTCTGCCGAACGAAGGATGAACTAATGACTTAATTTTTTTAAAGGGGTTAGCGCCAGGCTGGGGGTAGGGGAAAATGATTCAAGGCAGAGGGGTGAGCTGAGCTCCTTGGAATGTCATCTTCACAGAACCGATCCTGGGTCGGGCTGATGTGATGAGACAACCTATTAGAAGAATCTCAATAGAAAATAGGTCAGTTTCTTCCTATCTCTTTAAGAACTAGAGGCTTCGTTTCCGCGCCTGCGCATTGAGAGAGTAAACACCTCTTTTTCACCCCCCCATCCCTATTGCCCCAACCAGCTGCAGCCTCCTCCCATACTCCCCTTCTTCAGGAGAGGTAATGGTCCGTTCCAGGGCGCCCGGCTCGTTCTAGAGGTGGCGAACATAAATGGTACGCTCCACTACCTTCATTACCTTCCGCTTTTCTCGTATCCTCTGTTCTATTTCCCCCTACCAAATGAAGCTCAATAGGCTGGCCCAAAAGAAGGGGGGGAGTCGGGCTGAGGGGACCGGTCTGAGCCGGTCTCCGGCGCAGGCGCAGTGCGGATAAACAGGAAGCGGGCGGTGGAGGCAGCGGTGGAGGAGATCTAGGGGCTTCGGGGGGCAAACAGCGAAGAACTAAGATTATCCGGAGGCAGCAGAGGCTAACTGCGAACAAGAAAAGGAGGTTTGGCTATCTGCCTCCAGGGGACGAGAGGTCGCGGCCTCGCTCTCCGTTTAGGCTTCCGGCTCCCCAGCTTAGGCTGAGGCAGCGGCTGACAAAGGGCTCGCGCCGGTGCCGCCGCCCTTCTCATCCGGGCATTCGGGTCCCTGCGGAGAGGGAGGGGGAAGGGTAGAGGGGGAGGGGAAGGAGCAGGAAGGGCGCGCGCTTGGAGCCGAGGCCCTCTCCAGGGCTCCGGGCCGGCGGCCCAACGGACCGAGGCCGAGGAGGACCCGCAGAGGTGGCGGCGGCCGGGGGCAGGAGGATGGTGCAGAAGGAGAGCCAGGCGGCGCTGGAGGAGCGGGAGAGCGAGCTCAACTCCAACCCTGCCGCCTCCGCGGGGGCATCGTTGGAGCCGCCCGCAGCTCCGGCCCCTGGAGAAGACAACCCAGCCGGGGCCGGGGGAGCAGCGGTGGCCGGGGCGGCAGGAGGGGCTCGGAGGTTCCTGTGTGGCGTAGTGGAAGGTGAGCGCTCTGGCGCGGGCTGGGCGACAGCGTCCTCCGGTTCCGCCCCGGTACTAACATATTCTCTCCTCCTGAAGGGGATGCTTTAGGAGGCTCTAAAAGGGTGTCACTCCTTTGGCTCTGAAACCTGATCCTGCTTAGACGAGGGGAGAGGGGCGACGGTGGGCCAGTCTTTACTCACGCTCGCCTCTCCCCTCACGTTGTTCTGCAGCGTTGGATTCCCCGCTGCCTATTAACTGGCCGGCCCCCACCCGCCTTGGGCTGGAGCCAGGCCTGCTCCTGCGGAGGCGGCGGTGAGGAGCCTGGTGTTAGGCTCCGAGTTGTACGTCTTTGTACCTCGGGATCTTGTTCCCTAGGGTGGTCTCTTCAAATGATAAAACGTATGTAATGCTGCTGTCCTCACCCTTTGGAAAAAAAATCAGCCCACACAGATGTGCTTGTATTCCTGGAGTGAAGAGACGCACGGTCGGCCTAGGGTTTTACAAATTCTCCCTTTGCTTAGTTTTTTTGGTTTGTTTTTGTGTTTTGCTGGCCAGTCCCCACGCCCCCACCCTTTGGAGTTTCTTTAGCAGCCTAGAAAATTGTCCTTAGCCAACTGCTGTGCTTTGGCTCTGGGGGATGAAGCTTTGACTTTAATAGTGTCAGATACGGAATTTTAATTTAGGGCCTGCAGAAGAGGATTAAAAATGCCCTTCTGATTCTCCCTTCCCATTTCAAAAGATGCCGGCTTTTTTTTTTTTTTTTTTGCTTTTTTTTTTCTTTTTTTGGTCTTTGGGGAAAATGGTTTGAAGACTATCACAGTTTATGAATATAGTGGACAGATATTCAACTGAACATTATATGGAACCATGAGTTACTTGTGTTAATTGATTTTGCCTTGAATACAGAATGTATTTTACTTTTCTGAAGTCTTGGCTGTCTGCTTTATTAGTTGTCTCTAGTATATAATGGTGTGCATAGGGGTAATGCTGTATAAAAATCAGGAGAAATAGAAGGGTTGCCCTATTGGTTGACAGCTTCAGCTTTTCCAATGTTAGCATATATATTCATTTGAAGGATGGGTGGTGGTTGTGGTATTTTAGATAAAGTTTATAGGGGAGAACAGACTAATACGTAGTTACAGTAAGGAGTGAAATAATTCACAGGTTAAAGGTCTTGCAGAATTTGGGGGAAAGACAAAATGGAAAACTACTTATGTATTTGGAGTCAGTGTTTTTGAAAACATGATTGCTTTGTGTGACTTAATCTGTTGGTGTATTCATTGGGCTTGTTTCCGTGCAGGGAGAGTCTAGAAAAAGTATGTATTTTGTCATCACAGATCTTGGGGTGGAGGGTTGAGAAGAAGTGCTAGGGGATATAGAAATTTTAGAGCTAGACTAGAATGCAGCTAAGGAACTTGCCTGCTACCTCTTCAGTAATTACAGAGAAAATCTCGTTGTGGTTTAAATAAGTTGGTTTGTTTTTTTCAAAATAGTATTGAAAGGAACTACTCAGAATAGAGTTGTCTGTCATCTATTGTTCCTCCTTCCATATGTATTTTTTTCTTGGTGACTGAGCACCTGATTTTGGCGGGGGGGGGGGGTAGTTCTAAGTTGGTGCCATTCTTAAAAAATGAATGAAGAAAGGAAATAACTGTGGGTATTGGCAGGATTCCTTTTTAAAAAATTTCTTTTCCGGGGCGCCTGGGTGGCTCAGTTGGTTAAGCGACTGCCTTCGGCTCAGGTCATGATCCTGGAGTCCCGGGATCGAGTCCCGCATCGGGCTCCCTGCTCGGCAGGGAGTCTGCTTCTCCCTCTGACCCTCCTCCCTCTCATGCTCTCTGTCTCTCATTCTCTCTGTCTCAAATAAATAAATAAAATCTTTAAAAAAAAAAAAAAATTTCTTTTCCTTACACACCTTTGTTGGTGATAACTCATGTAATAGCGCTGTTTCCTCTTTGTGGTGACAGTTAACCGAAACCATGAACCTGACTCTCAGCAAAGTTAGGGTTTGTGAAGATAAAATGTTTCTTTTATATATTGAAGCAACTCTAAAGGAGTGTTTAATGCCTATTCCTTTAAGAGAAAAATGATAATGCCAAGTGTTGTAGGAAATCTAGAAAGACGTGTATAAAATTTACCTGATGGTTTAAATTACTTGTAAGCGGTAACGCTGAATTGTCAAGATTGAAAGTGCTGCAGTTTCATACATAGGTATGCAATGAATTTTTCTTTGGTTGTCATTGTTCTTATTTGTGACACAGAGTAACCATCCTGTGTAGAGATTGGAGTTTAATGCATTACAGAAATTTCAGTTTTAGGTAGTCTCTTAAGTAGACTGTGTGTGTGTGAAGAGTATTTTGGGTTCATGATATGATCTTAATCGTAGTACTCCTGAGAGGTTGTCTTTACCTCTTGCAGGTGATTAGACAGAGGTGGAAAATAAAGGTTAGGCAAGCTGTAGGGTGTGATTAGCACACGAGGGAGCTGCAAATACCAGGTTGGTGCTTATACCACTGCTTAAGTCATTCTTCTGCGGATTTGTTTCCTGCAATATGTGTTGGTACTGCTTTGCCCCCTTCTGGGACAGTGGAGCAAGTCACATTCTTGAATTTCCAGTTCCGACCTTTGCTCTGGAATTGAGACTACTTGAGATTCCTATTTGGGCCAGCTCCACTGTTGAACTTGTTGTGAATGTAGTTTAAGGCATTTTTGGACCCTTTTATTATATCAGGAACTTAAAAAAAAAAAGGTTATCATAAAATTAATTCAGTCAGATTTTTTTCTAATTCTCTTCCTGATTTTTTTTTTGCCCCTACATTTTTACTCTCCCACCGCCACTCTAAAGTCAGTTTAACTTCTCTCTCAGGTAGTAATTGTTACTATAAGCGGTTTGGGATTACTTTGCTTCCCCTTCCTCTGTTTTAAGATTGAGATCTTTTAAAAAGTTAGGTTTAGGGGCACCTAACCCTAACCGGGTCAGTCAGTAGAGCATCCAGTTCTTGGGTCATGAGTTCAAGCCCCACATTGGGTGTGGAGATTATTTAAAGAAAATAATGAAAAGTTAGTTTTAGGGGCGCCTGGTTGGCTCAGTCGAAGGAGCATGCGACTCATGTTGTTGGGGTTGTGAGTTCGAGCCCCACATTGGGTGTAGAGATGAAAAAAAAACACCTTAAATTAGATTTAAACATATTTGGTCTTTTTTGGCAGTGAAAAGAGATGATGTTATAGGTGTTTTAAAAATAGCTATTGTATAAGTAATAAGTGTTAATGGTAGAAAAATCAGAAAATTTACCTAAGCAAAAAGGGAGTAAAAGTCATTTTATAACATCACCATCCAAAGACACCTTAATGTTTTACTAAATAGCCTTCATATACTGGTATATTGTACACGCTTTTTTACAAAATGGGATTGTACTGTATGTTTTGTAATCTGCTTTTCTCAACAGTTTACCACATTTTGAAACTTGAAAATAATTTCATTCTTACTTTGAATCTAGGATTTTACGGAAGACCTTGGGTTATGGAACAGAGAAAAGAACTCTTTAGAAGGTAAATTTTTTACTTTCTGAAGGAGAGTCTTAAACCATTAACATTTCCTTTTGTTTGAAGAAAAACTAACACTGAGTAGGCCAGGTGCGTTTTGATGATTTCTCAGTTGCAGAAGTTAATTTTACCTTGGTCTTTTACCTCTTCTTCACCTATGCCAGGGGTTTTCAAAGTTTCTTGGGGAAACTGAATAGGTTTTGGGCTTCACCTGTGTCACTCGGAGCTGTTTTTATTTAAGACTTTAATATGTTGACATTTCTTGTAATAAAATTTTTTTACATTTCTACTGGATTACAAAAAGGTTAAAAGCTACAGCCCCAGAATATTATTAGCTGTTTAAGAGATGGAGATGTTCCAAGAAAAGGGAAATGTTGTGATTTATAGCCTATACTGTATTGTTGCCTATTTATACATATGTAATCTTCTTTCCCTTAAGGCTCCAGAAATGGGAATTAAATACATACTTGTATGCCCCAAAAGATGACTACAAACATAGGATGTTTTGGCGAGAGATGTATTCTGTGGAGGAAGCTGGTAATCTTTTTCTTTTTAATCCATAAATTCAGAATATGTTAAGAAAACAGCTATATTTCAGATGTAGTTATACAAAAATTTTATTAAGTATTTCATTTTCTCTTCGTAGGTAGTTTCCTTTTCGTCTTTCTGATAATTCTATGTGAGTTGTAGTGCAGATTGAAAGAGTAGCACTAACGATGCACAGCCATGGTGTGATTCATGGTTATGCCAGTCTGACTCCAACCTGTTCTGTAATCATAAATTGTACTTTTTAACTTCTGTCAGTGGTCTGAACGGTAGGCCACTGGACAAAAGGGTGCTGAAGCAGTAGGCCTAGGGCAAGGCAAGTGAGGCGCTTGCCTTGGGTGCAAAGTTTAAGGGACTCCAAAAAAATCAGTGGTCAAGATAAATAATATTTTAAGCAATTTTTAAACCAGAATTAATGCAAAAAAAAAAAATCCACGAACAAGATACCAAAATTTTAAGGAAAGACAGGATCCGTATTACTGATCTTTTTGCTTCAGACTCAAGTATGGCTTGGTCTTGACCACTTGATTACTTGTCTTATCTATATTTAAAATAAAGATCTCACCCTAGTCTAGGCTTATACTAAAGTGAAAAGCCATCACAAACTATCCTTGCTATGTGTCGTCTTATGTTGAGTTAAGTACATAAAATTTGTACATAAGATGGTACATCACAGAACCTCCTTCTAAATTAGATAAGTGGTACTTTTCTTTGGGGACTTGTAAATGGGGAAACATTTTTATACTTGGAATTAAATGGTATACACATGTAGCTAACAAGATACTTGGTTACAGAGTGTAGCCAAGGCACTGAAGGCAGAAAGTTTTCTTAAATTATGAAGAAGCAATTAAAACGTATTCCATCTCCATCTAGTGTTGTTGCTTACTACTCTATATAATTTAAGTGTGTGTTCAACTTAATTATTTTTTGGTGGTGCTGGTAATGAAATTTTATGTGATCAGTAATCAAAATATAGTCAAATGACTATCTTGAGATACCACTGAAAGTTATGTAAAGATACATCCTGTGATACATAGAATAGGATTTTATTTTACTTAGGAAAATTGTCTGTCACATTTTAAAAACTTAAAGGATAAGGATTGTTAAGGCCATCACTTAACCCTGGTTGTTAAGAACATGTTTTTCTTTTTTTCAATTATAAAGTAGTTATATGTAGATTTTTTTATTTAAGAGTGTCAGTTGTTCAGAAACTACAAAAACAGAAACCATCTCAAATACTGTAGGAAATAAAAATGGTTTATATTCAGTAAGAGAAGTGATGCTTAATTGAATATTTTTGAGAAATGGCAGTGAAAGGAAGAGAATGCTTATTGATTTTAGGGTGACATTAAGTCACATGAGGTTCGTGGCGTTTTATATGGCCTGTTGTCACATTGGACATGACAGTTTGTAAAACTTAAGGGACTTTTCCTTTCTTGAGCTATTGCAAACTGGAGAAAATTACCTCTTCTCTTTAGTTGAAAGGTGAAGGTTCTTTTAGTTTTCTGTGCTGCTTTCTAAAAACATGGACTCTTTTCTTTAGAGCAACTTATGACTCTCATCTCTGCTGCACGGGAATACGAGATAGAGTTCATCTATGCTATCTCACCTGGTTTGGATATTACCTTTTCTAACCCCAAGGAAGTATCTACATTGAAACGCAAACTGGACCAGGTAACTTCGTTACTTTCTCATTATTTGTCCCTAAATCAGTAAACACTGTTTTCTGAGTTGCTTTTATGAAGTTAAAGGGAAGGCAAACTTTGGGGTTCCTGGGTGGCTCAGTTCGTTGTGTCTGACTCTTGATCTCAGTTCATTCAGGTTTTGATCTCAGGGTCATGAGTTCAGGCCCCCTGTTGGGCTCTACACTGGACATGGAGCCTACTTAAAAAAAAAAAAAGAAACCAAATTTATTCTTCTTCTGTACAATTTTTTTACTTTAATGCTCTTCACAGAAGGATATTTTGTGAGTCAAGAGCGCTTTACTGGAGGTACCAGTGCTTCTCAGACTTTAGTTTGCATGAGAACTACCTTAAAAGAAATGCTTAGAAGTGATTCTTAAAAGAATGCTGATAGGGTCCATTTCCAGAGAGTCTTAAACTGACTTGGGGTGGGAATACGGACTTGGAGTGGGGACTTATCTCAGAATTCAGGTTGTCCAGAGTCACATTTTGAGAAACTCTGTATATTATTGGGTACTTGACTGAATTTGTGACCAGGGTTATAGAAACAGGGTTTTACCTGTTAAGACGTCAGTTTCATTTGTTGATATGGACAAGAGATATAATTCAGTCTGGAAATGGTTGGCTGGTTTCCCAAGATTAGAAGGAAAACAGACTAGGTAGACGTGTAAACTGATTAGAATCTAAGTTCTGCTTAACATAAAAGCTGCACATCTTGGGATGCCTGGGTGGCACAGTCTGTTAAGCAGCTGCCTTCGGCTCAGGTCATGATCCCAGGGTCCTGGGATTAAGTCCCTCATTGGGCTCCTTGCTCAGCGGGGAGCCTGCTTCTCCCTCTGCCTGCCACTCCCCCTGCTTGTGTGCATGCTTGTGCGCGCTCTCTCTCCTCTGACAAATAAATCTTGAAAAAGCTGCACATCTTTTCTGGTAAATTTGCTGATACATTACACATATAAATGTGTGCATGTTTCTTTAGGCAAAGGTTTACATTTTTTTAAAGACTTTTTTTTAGGGGCGCCTGGGTGGCTTAGTTCTTAAGTGTCTATCTTCGGCTCAGGTCATGATTCCAGGGTCCTGGGATCGAGCCCCACATTGGGCTCCCTGCTCGTAGGAAGCCTGCTTCTCCCTCTCCCACTCCCCCTGCTTGTGTTCCCTCTCTCGCTGTGTCTCTCTCTGTCAAATAAATAAAATCTTTAAAAAAAAAAAAGATTTTTTAGAATTTATTTTAGAGAGAGTGGGGGGAGGGGCAGAGGGAGAGGCAGAGAGAGTCCTAAGCAGACTCCACACTGATTGCAGAGCCTGCTTGGGGCTCCATCTCACAACCCTGAGATCACGACCTGAGCTGAAACCGAGTTGGAAGCTTAACCAACTGCACCACCCAGGCACCCCGGCACAGGTTTATATTATTGATGGCATTAAGATGATTAAAAATTAATGAGGTTAGGGTGCCTGGGTGGCTCAGTCGTTAAGTGTCTGCCTTTGGCTCGGGTCATGATCCCAGGGTCCTGGGATCGAGCCCCACATTGGGCTCCCTGCTCGTAGGAAGCCTGCATCTCCCGCTCCCACTCCCCCTGTTTGTATTCCCTCTCTCTCTGTGGGTCTCTCTCTGTCAAATAAATAAAATCTTAAAAAAAAAAAAAATTAATGAGGTTAAATTTCCATGAATATGCTTTTTTTTTTTTTAAGAGTGTGGTGGGGGCAGAGAAAGAGTGAGTTTTGTTGTTTGTTTGTTTGTTTGAGAAAGAATCTTGAGCAAGTTCCACGCCCAGCACAGAGCCTGATATGGGGGCTTGATCTCACAAACCTGAGATCATGACCTGAGCAGAAATCAAGAGTGGGCCGCCTAACTGAATGAGCCACCCAGGGTTTTTAAGAGGTTATTTTCCTGTTTGTTCAAATACTACTGCTGCGTTCCTTTAGATTCCTGGACTAGTTAGGTTTATGTGCAAAGATTAGTTAAGATCATTGTGTCTTTGGAACTAGAGCAGGCCTAGGTTTTCCGCCTCTTGAGTTCATTATTTGTGTGTTTGTATTTTTCTGTCTGTTTGGTCTTCTATAATTATCAGCCAAGGAGGTGTAGGATAGGCCATATTGTTGAAGCTTTATTGGAACATACTGCATTCAAACCCAAATGAAAGATGTTTCCTAAACTTGTCTAGCTGTTTAGCATAGAAAATATAAAAACAGGTTTGGCTTTGAACACCCTAAAGAAAATGTTTGATTTAGGTACAACTGTTAAGTGTCTGCTTTAATATTTGGAATCCTGTTTTTTATGTAAGCTCTATGCCCATTGTGGGGCTTGGAATTCAAGATCCCGAGATCAAGAGTTGCCTGCTCTACTGATCGAGCCAGACGCACCTTGTATTTTTACTCTAAAATGAGCTGCTAAAGGGATGCCTGGGTGGCGCTAGTTGGTTGAGCGCCGAACTCTTGGTTTCAGCTTGGGTCATGATCTTGGGGTCCTGAGATTGAGCCCCATTTCTGTGCTGGTCTCCCTGCTCAGCAAGGAGTCTGCTTGTTTCTCCCTCTCTCTGCCCCTTCCCCTGCTTGCGTGTGCATACGCGCGCTCTCTCAAATAAAGGAATAAATCTTTTTTAAAAATGAGCTACTAAAACATCTTGGTTTTTTTGTTGTTTTGTTTTACCTTTTCTAGGTTTCTCAGTTTGGGTGCAGGTCATTTGCCTTGCTTTTTGATGATATTGATCATAATATGTGTGCAGCAGACAAAGAGGTATTCAGTTCTTTCGCTCATGCCCAGGTCTCCATCACAAATGAAATTTATCAGTACCTAGGAGAACCAGAAACTTTCCTCTTCTGTCCCACAGGTATTGTATATAATAGCTTTATATTTAACTAGTCTTAAGATTTTTTTAGAATTTATTTTAGAGAGAGTGGGGGGAGGGGCAGAGGGAGAGGAAGAGAGAATCCTAAGCAGACTCCACACTGCTTGCAGAGCCTGCTTGGGGCTCCATCTCACAACCCTGAGATGGTTTCAAAGAATCCTGTATGGGTTTTACTGTGTTGTCCCCTCTCCCTTTGGTGGTGTATAAAGGTAGGAATTATTTTTCTAGAAGACGTTTCTCAAGGCCTTACACTAGAGAAATTTTAGGGACTAATAAATGGCAACTGAACAAGCAAAAGATTTCATGTATTTTTAGTGCTGGAAGTATCTGAACAGTACATTTTCAGGATTGAAGGAAGGATAGTATTATGAAAATGAAAAACTAGAAAAAAGCAAATTTACATTGCTTTTAACTTAGTCACTTCTCATTTCCTCCTACTTGTTCCTTTTTTCTGCCTGTGCATATCTGTATCCTTTTTCACTCTTCCCACTTCCATCTGGACTCTTATTTCCAGTAGTCAGCCTAGAAAACTTGCCAATTTTTCCTCCTTTCCCTCCCCTCTAGGTCCTTCCATTGAAAATATATTAGCCTCTCTTAGTTCCCTCTCAAAATTTGGCTTATAAGAAATTTCCCCCTGACTTGATTTCTTTTTCAGGAAGAGATAAATAAGTTCTAAGAAATTTTAGTCTGAGTTTATTTAACTTCGTGTGTATGTCTGTTTTCAAGTACTATGAACTGTGAACCTTATCTCAGTGGTCTGATACTACATGAGTACTCAAATAATGTTTAATAAGATTATGTGGGAAATACTTAATTCAGTGCAAATTACAGTTTACTTGCAGTTGAATACTAATAGCCATGGGCATAATGTTGCATTCTTTCTGTTATGATATTACCAATTTGTTCTGTTTGGCCTCTAATTGTTATTGAGAGATGTAGGCAGTTCAGAAGTATGTAGAAAATGCTAAAAATTCCAATTATTTCTTTAGTAAAATTGTGTTTTTAGTGACTGTAGGGTAATAAGGATTGGTCTGTATTATTTGAGGAAGAATATCAGATTTTATGAATTGAGTCACTTTTATTTTTTTGAGTTGATTCTTTAATGAACTACCCACTTCGGAATTTAGAATTGATAGACATTTTTCCCCCATTTAAAAACCCATGACCATTTTATTCCTGACTATTTTACTTAATTTTCCCTCCTACATTCAGAATATTGTGGCACTTTCTGTTACCCAAATGTGTCTCAGTCTCCTTATTTAAGGACTGTGGGTGAAAAGCTTCTACCTGGAATTGAGGTGCTTTGGACAGGTAAGTCTTTAAGATTTACACAGTAAAACTTTAGATAACTAGAACTTAAAAAAATTGGTTGTTCTGCTTAATTGGATACTTTTTGAAAACTGAGCCTGAACCAGAAAACTTTGTTGTTAAAATTATCTTTCTTTTATGAAGTATACATTCTTCATTTAGTATAAAAAACATCTCTGAGGATTTTGCAGTGAATCTGAGTATTGGTTGTTGATAAATAATAGGGAACTGGACTAAAGGATATTGATCTCAGCCTTAGGAGAGTATTTTATTTTATCAAATGAAAGCTATCATGATGGATTGTCAGCTAGTAATCACTGTGTTGTATTATAATGGAAAAAAATTGTTCACATGAAAATTTGTTTCTTAACGTATCAGTTTGAGGAAGCCAGCACAAATCTCTTATCTTTTTACTACTATTTCCATTTTTAATAATGTGATCTGAGGGAATTCCTGGGGGCGGTTGGGTAAAACTGAGTAAAAAGACATGTTGTGTTACTTTGAAAAGAAAAATTGTTAGAAAGTATATATATAACAAAATACAATAAAAAATTGAATGCAGTATATTTTGAAGAGTCATGTTTGAGGGTCTTTTAACAAATGGTCATCATTATTTCTAGGTCCCAAAGTTGTTTCTAAAGAAATTCCGGTGGAGTCCATTGAAGAGGTTTCTAAGATTATTAAGAGAGCTCCAGTAATCTGGGATAACATTCATGCTAATGATTATGATCAGAAGAGACTATTTCTGGGGCCATACAAAGGAAGATCCACAGAACTCATCCCACGGTTAAAAGGAGTCCTTACTAATCCAAATTGTGAATTTGAAGCCAACTATGTTGCTATCCACACCCTTGCCACCTGGTACAAATCAAACATGAATGGAGTGAGAAAAGATGTAGTGATGAGTAAGTAGACAACTTTAGGGGGAGAGGTGGCGTTAACTAGAGCTGTTGGCAAATATGTGTTCCTTTGTCGTCATAATTTAAGAGGTTTTTAGAGTGTGTTGTTTAGTCCTGTGAATGAGATATATATGTGATTAGAAGAAGGGCTGAGTGGCTTTGGACAAATTATTTAATAACTTCTTGGGCTCAGTTCTTTGCTTCCCCTTTTCCCCCAGTTCTTTGCTTTTTTTCTTTTTCCCCAGTTCTTTGCTTTTAAAATGTGACTTAGTCTTTGAAGTCTGAGTACTAGACAAGTAGTCTTTGAGTGTTCTTGTTATCCCTAGAATTATTCTGATTCAGTTTGTATTTTCTGGTGATTTTTATTAAATGGGATATTTAATTTAATTTATTTGAGAGAGAGAGCATGAGCACAAGCCTAGAGAGGAGCAGGCAGAGGGACAAGCAGACTCCTCTGCTGAGCAGGGAGCCTGATGTGGGACCCAAGACCCTGGGATCATGACCTGAGCCGAAGGCAGATGCTTAACCGACTGAGCCTTTCAGGCACCTCATATTTATTGACATTTAAACACATATTAAGATGTGGCAAGTGCACCTTCCTGGCACTAAGATGCAAAGAAGAAAGTAGTCCCCACTTTTGAAGAACATAGTCTGGTTTTGAATAAAGCATGTAGGCGACTGTGCTGTGGTTTGATAAATGCTGAGGTAGTTGTCTACAGAGTGCTGTGGGAATACAGAGGAGAGACTTTATTTCTGCTAAGCAGAAGTGGTGGTAAGAAACAGTCTCATAGAGGAGGGAGTACTTAAACTGCATCAAAGTATGCGTAAAGGTTGCTGGGCCTTAAAGTGTTGGTGGGCAAGAGATGAAAACACTGGACACTGAAAATTTGAAGTTACCTGAATTTTGGCCCATTTAGGAGGTGTGGAAATGTCATTATGATGCTTTGGGTGTGGTATGTAGTCGTATAGTTGTGTTTTTTCCTGAGTTCTGTACTACTACTTCAAAATCTGTTTATTGGGATAATACCTCCCATTAAGGCTCATTGTGGATCTCCCCATTAAAAAATAAAATAAAATTTTAGGCTATTCTGTATATATGGCACCTACCTCCTATATCTCTTTTTTCAAAGATTCCATTTATTTGAGAGAGAGCACAAGCAGGGGGAGCAGCAGGCAGAAGGAGAGGGGGAAGCAGGCTCCCCACTGAGCAGAAAGCCCACTGTGGGGCTCGATCCTAGGACACCGGGAATCATGACCTGAGCCAAAGGCAGATGCTTAACTGACTGAGCCACCCAGGCTCCCACCTCTACCTCCTACCTCTTTTAAGGCAGAGCATGAAGCACATTAAGGAGTAGTAGATAATTAGCCAAACTGGGCCATATGCAGGGAAATATGAAGGAAAGCTAAGAATAGGAGGGTTTTGGGTACTAAGCCAAAGAGTTCAGACCTTATTTATTTATTTATTTTTTAAGATTTTATTTATTTATTTGACAGAGAGAGGCACAGCGAGAGAGGGAACACAAGCAGGGGGAGTGGGAGAGGGAGAAGCAGGTTTCCCGCGGAGCAGGGAGCCTGACACAGGGCTCGATCCCAGGACCCCGGGATCACAACCTGAGCCAAAGGCAGACGCTTAAGGACTGAGCCACCCAGGCGCCCTCAGACCTTCTTTTTTCTAACACTATCCTGGTGCAGAGCTTCATTATGTGCTTATTATCTGTGCTCATATGTGGGTACTCTACTGATTTTTCTCTTCCCCCCTCAATACAGTTATTAATTTGCTTATTATTTTTTTGTAATGATTTGCCCATTAAGTTATAAGCTCTGAAGGGTTGGGAATGTTTTCTTTATGGAAATCATAGTGCCTTAAACCTCACATTCCCGATGATTGGTACTCAGTGAACATTTATGAATGACTTCCAGTGATTCTAAACTTAGTGTTCCGTATTTCAAGTGGGATGTTAACATGCAGCAATGCATTTAGATGACTTATAGGTGAAGTGGTTCAGTTAGGTTGTGTTTGCATTTTTATGTTTAAGTTTTGTTCTTTTTCCTATTCTTTGTTTCGCTAGTTGTACTGTAATAACTGGTGTTTTGCATTTGTTCCTCTTATCAGGAGGCTTTTGTAATCAAAACTGTTTTTTGTGTTCTTTCTCTTTTTTTTGCAGCCGACAGTGAAGACAGTACTGTATCGATCCAGATAAAGTTAGAAAATGAAGGTAGTGATGAAGATATTGAAACTGACGTGCTCTATAGTCCACAGATGGCCCTAAAGTTAGCTTTAACAGAATGGTTGCAGGAGTTTGGTGTACCTCATCAGTATAGCAGTAAGTTTGGCCCTTTTAAGGGAGTTAGATCATATGGTTGAGTCCTAAAGTAAAGAACATTTGATGTGCCTATCATAGGCCCACCAAACAAAATTTAGGAAGGGATCTAGAGAATAAGGTCTTTAAAATCTTAACTTTTGGTCTTAAGTAGGTTTTATCGTGATGGAATGCTGATTTGTTTTAAAAAGTCTTTTTTGGAATAATTGTTTTTAGATCTAGATCTTCAAAAGAGAAGATAACAATATGTGTTGGCATATATAGGGGATGTTTATCATGTTTCTTTTTTCCTCTCTTCCCTCCTTACCTCCCTGATGGTTTAGAGAAATTGCACTTTTTTTTTTTTTAAGATTTTATTTATTTGACAGAGAGAGAGCAAAGTAGGGGAAGCAGCAGGCAGAGGAAGAGGGAGAAGCAGACTCCCCACTGAGCAGGGAGCCCAATGCGGGGCTCAATCCCAGGATCCTGGGATCATGACCTGAGCCAAAGGCAGCCGCTTAACAACTGAGCCACCCAGGCGCCCCATATTGCACTTTTCTCAGGGCTAAGTATTTCTTGGAATCTCAAATTGAGGTTCCAGTTACAGATACGATAAAATATTTCTCAAAAGACAAATATCATATGATCTCACTGATATGACGAATTTGAGAAACAGGACATTTGAGAAACAGGACATCATAGGGGAAGGGAGGGAAAAATGAAACAAGACGAAACGGAGAGGGAGACAAACCATAAGAGACTCTTCTCTCAGGAAACAAACTGAGGGTTGCCGGAGTGGAGGGGGGTGGGAGGGATGGGGTGGCTGGGTGATGGGCATTGGGGAGGGTAAATACTACAGTGAGCACTGGGAATTGTGTAAGGCTGATGAATCACAGACCTGTACCCCTGAAACAAATAATACATTGTATATTAATAAAAAAAAATAAACATTTCTCTAGATCTGATTTGTTCTATTTCTAACTCTGATTATTTTTGTGGTAATTTATCTTTGTAGGTCGGCAGGTTGCACACAGTGGAGCTAAAGCAAGTGTAGTTGATGGGACTCCCTTAGTTGCAGCGCCCTCTTTAAATGCCACAACTGTAGTTACAACAGTTTATCAGGAGCCCATTATGAGCCAGGGAGCAGCCTTGAGTGGTGAGCCTTCCGCTTTGACCAAGGAAGAAGAAAAGAAACAGCCAGATGAGGAACCCATGGACATGGTAGTGGAAAAACAAGAAGAAACAGACCACAAGAATGACAATCAAATACTAACTGAAATTGTTGAAGCTAAAATGGCTGAGGAATTGAAACCAATGGACACAGATAAAGAGAGCATAGCTGAATCAAAATCCCCAGAAATGTCAATGCAGGAAGATTGCATTAGTGATATTGCCCCTATGCAGACTGATGAACAGACAAACAAGGAGCAGTTTGTGCCAGGTCCAAATGAAAAGCCTTTGTACACTGTGGAACCAGTGACTTTGGAGGATTTGCAGTTGCTTGCTGACCTATTCTATCTTCCTTATGAGCATGGACCCAAAGGAGCACAGATGTTAAGGGAGTTCCAGTGGCTTCGAGCAAATAGCAGTGTTGTCAGTGTCAATTGCAAAGGAAAAGACTCTGAAAAAGTGAGTATGCTTAATTTATCCTCTTCTCTATCCTGGGTGGGTCCCCATGCTGATGATATGGAGGAAGCCTTTAATGAGTGTAACTCTGAAAATTGACCACATCTTAGAATATGCTCTGTAAAGTGGATGTGGACTCTGCTGATTCTGGTGCATAGAGTTCCATAGTTTGACCTTAGAGTGAGGAATGAAGGAAAGTCATCACAGTTGATTATTTTAGAAATGTTTGTCAGTTTGGGGAGACACAGACTTACTGCGTATCTGAAGAGTTTAAGCCCAGTGATCCTTTAATGTTTAGGATATGTTGCAGGTACCTGATAATACAAACAGTTTATAATTATGTTTTAGGTTATTTTGTTTTTTCTTGCAGTTTTTTGAGTCATATTTTTATTGATCTTCAATAGATTGAAGAATGGCGGTCACGAGCAGCCAAGTTTGAGGAGATGTGCGGACTGGTGATGGGAATGTTCACTCGGCTCTCCAATTGTGCCAACAGGACAATCCTTTATGACATGTACTCCTATGTTTGGGATATCAAGAGTATAATGTCTATGGTGAAGTCTTTTGTACAGTGGTTAGGTAGGTGCACCAGGAATAATCTCTTCCTCAGATATATTGTCCCTTAAAAATGAAAAAAAAAAAAAAAAAGATTATCCCACAGGGAGAAAAATATTTAGGGAATTGACAGATTTCCAACTCTTTAAATTCTTTGCTTAGATTTCTTTCAAAGGTATAGCCATTGTTGGCAAACTTGAGATGCAAGTCTCCGTAAATACATCAAGCACATTGATTTTTCTCCCTTGGGCTAATTCAGCATAAATATCTTTAAAATGTGTTAGAAAAGTACTGACTTTAACTTGCTCTGACTGAATGCTTCCTGGATGGAACCCTGTATAGCACTTTTATCTGATTTGGAGATGAGACACTATGAATTGTGACTGTAAGCTCTCTGCTGCTTGCTGTGTCGTGGTAACATTAATTGCTGTGTTTAACAGAACAATTGCTGAAATGACCTAAGGGGCCTGGCAAGAGGAAGCTATCCTCCCAGCCCTGTGCGCATGCGAGCTTTAGTGGTAGGCTATTCTGGTGCTACTTGGTATTATTTCACATGGATTTTTCTTTATTCCTCTACCAAGTAATTGGTTTTAGCAGGGGATGAAAATTGCAATCTCCTGAAAATTCTCTCCTTAATTAAATGGACTTCTGTATGTCTCTTTTGAAAACTGATTTTTTTTTTTTTTTTTTTGGGAAATTCTGAACAAACTTGGTAAAAAGCACCAGCATGGCCAAGTTTCTCCAGGGACCTCATTTCATTTCCAGGTTTTCAATCCAGCTATAAGGAATATGTAATGGACTTACATACAGCACACAGCAGGCAGCAAGGCTAACTGACATGTCATAGTTTTCATAGTAGTCACAAATACTGTGATGGGTTACTTGGTCTTTGTTGTGAAACAGTTGTGTGAAACATTGTGAGCTTAGATTAAGAGTAGTAGCAATGAGATTTCTCACCTTCTGCCTATATACTTTTGGACTCTTTTTTTTTTTTTTTAAGATTTTATTTATTTGACAGAGAGACACAGTAAGAGAGGGAACACAAGCAGGGGAAGTGGGAGAGGAAGAAGTAGGCTCCCCGCGGAGCAGGGAGCCTGGTGCGGGGCTCGATCCCAGGACCCTGGGATCATGACCTGAGCCGAAGGCAGACGCTTAATGACTGGGCCACCCAGGCGCCCCTGGACTCTTAAATATTAAAAAAAAAATAATAGGTTTCCTTTGACACAACTAATTAGCAGTTAAAAGTAGTGTCTCTGTTAGTTTGAAAATAACCTTGAGTTTCTGTGTATTTAGCACAACAGCTAGAGAATTTTTACCTCTTGTTAAAAGGCTTCAAGCACCTCTTTTCTGTGATGTCTGTATTTAGGCTCAGGAAAAACCTCTATATTGGTTATTGGATGACAGCATTTGCCTTCCAGGCTTCTGGCCAGGGAGTTATAATTAAATCTCTTACAGGGATTTAAATCTTAATGTTTCCAGTGTGAAGTCTGGATTCTTGAGCTTGGGAAAGTATCATTTAAAACATTTGATATTGAACTTTTAATTCAAGAATTATTCAAAATTAAATTCTTGATTATATACAGTATTGTTTCTATTTCCTCTCAGGTTTTATTTCTGTACTGTGCAAATATGGGGCAGCTTTCCCAAATTGTGTAGATAGCTACTGTACGATCTAAAGGTCAGAGCATCTTAGAAGTTTTTGTTTTGTTTTTTTTTTATTTTATTTATTTATTTGAGTGAGAGAGAATGAGAGCACGAGAGGGAAGAGGGTCAGAGGGAGAAGCAGACTCCCTGCTGAGCAGGGAACCCGATGTGGGACTCCATCCCAGGACTCCAGGATTATGACTTGAGCCGAAGGCAGTCGCTTAACCAATTGAGCCACCCAGGTGCCCAGAAGTTTTAAATAATTATCTTGGCATCCGCATAGCTTTACAAAAAGCTCATGACAAGGAGAGTATTTTCATGGATCTATAGTAATTTCAGGGAGTTACTGGTTAGAACCCTTTGTTTTCCTCCTCTCTCCAGTCCAGCTGGCATTCAGTCCTTTAAAGAATGTGGCTATGCAGTACTTTTGATTACTAACGACTTCTATTATCTTCTTCCCCATTGTGTACAGATGGGAGAATCCTCAGCACAAGTGTCTACTGCTATTGGATGGACAGCGGCAGATGTTCACAGCGCGTCATGATTAATTAGTTTAAATTGAAAGGTTCTATCTGTGAGGTAGCTCAGATTTAAGGGCAGTAGGCATGAACTGAAGTCACGTTTGCGCAGCGACTGAGGCATTAACCATGTTTTCATTTACACAGCTCTTCGTACATGCAGCTTTTTATTGTAATAGTTGGAAGTGCTAGTTATGTTGTAGTCTCAAAGTGGGGGGTAGGGGAAATTGGCTGATCTTAAAGTTTGAGAGTATAGTATTTTTCTGCAGTGTAAATTTACACTGACCTATGGAATGGGGCACATTCTCTTAGCCTAAATTTTGACCCTATTTCATATTTATTTAACAAATTTACATATTATGTATGTTTTCTTAAAGCACCCCTACCCCTAAAAAATGACAAACCTGGATATAATCTCTTAATGGGCCTGAATTGTGAACAAAAAATTGGTTTGCTTTGGGACTGTCTGACTAGCACACTATATCTTGTACTGATGAGACTGTTAACTTGAACAGGAGGTAGAATGCTGTCTTCAAATGGAAAAGAACTATATTGCGCTGCTTTATCTTGTCAGAAGACTAGGCAGGTGATTTTGATTTGGCCTCCAAATATTTGCTTTCAATTATTTCTTGTTGTTAGTTTCCTTTATTGCCTCTGAAGTTGGTTAAGTGGTGACCTTAGTGCTGACTTCTGGACCTTACACCCTGCCACTCTGTGCATGTGTTCAGTGCACTGCAAAGATTATAATGGTCAGTCAGAAGAGCCAGATACTGTCATACTTTTCAGAAAAGTATGTTTTAGCTCTGGATAAATTAGGAGCATCAGTTGGCTCTCCTTAGCTCTTAGAATTTGTCTGACTGCTATTATTATTAGCCAAGTCTAAATTGGATTGTCCTTGTTAGAAAAAATAGTTTTAATTGTGTTTTGTTGTCAACTTACTGAACAATTTCTTTTGTTTATTCTGCTGACCTTAGTTTTCTGACAAGATTAATCCCCCCCCCCTTTTTCCCTTCCTTACCCTTCCTTATAATGTAAAATGTGACTTCAGACAGGTTTAATTCCTTCATGGGCTGTGATAATAAAATGTCTTAACCTATCTCCTTCATTTCACTTCATGATTACTGTAATTTCACTACAGAGCAAGCAGCTGGCTTGATTTTTTTTTTTTACAGCTGTATCTAGGGATATATAAACTTGACCCAAACAAACTTGAGACTGACTTCCAATAATTAGAGGGTAGAACTCTTTACAGTGATTATTCATTAATCAGAGAAAGAAACATTGGTATTGAAATTCCATTACAAATTAAAAAAAATTATTATCACAGCCTTGTTCTGAAACCCTGGATTATTATTGTTAGAGAGCTATTTCCACAAAGTGTTTGTTAGTGTGTTGGACGTTTGAGACCCCAGGAAATCCCCTTTCTCGTAACATTCTCCGCTTGGATCTGATCTCAACAGGGTGTCGTAGTCATTCTTCAGCACAGTTCTTAATTGGAGACCAAGAACCCTGGGCCTTTAGAGGTGGTCTAGCAGGAGAGTTCCAGGTATCAATATGAATTCACAACTGAATTGACATTTTCTTTGTTTTATGAGAAACCTTATGTTGCGCATCAGATGGCTGGAAGGATTGGTCTGCCGAAGGCTTTCTAGTCCCAAATTCAATTTAGTTACATAGCTGGATTTTAAATCAAATTTTCCTCCTCTTTCACAGTAATTTCTGAAGGAGATGCTGCCAATTCCCCCCGCGCCTGCGAAGCGCAGCGGCTCTAGGTATACACTTCACATTGTTTCTTTGCAGGTCGCACACCATTTTAATCTGCGCCCGCAATGCACAATGCGCGCATGCTTGTCTGCCAGTGGAAACTCCATGAGCAAAAAGGATGAATAATTATGCAAGTGAATGGTGAAAGGACTTTTGGATACTTTCCCAATTATTTTATAAATAAAACTTGTACTCTAAAGAACAGCCTGTTAATGAATTTGAACAAAATAAGAAGCTTTTTTGGTGTTGAAATTTGTTCATGGACTTTTCAGGTGCTCTACTTTTCTCCCCCCAACAGGTGCTCTGCTGCGCACAGCAAACTGAAGCGCATTGCTTTGGGAATAAAGCGTCTCCTGGACAGATAACCCTCTTCAGACCAAACCTCTCCTCCTGACATTCTGTTCTGCCATCTTTTAGTACAGAGATGGTCTATATAAGATTGGTTTTAAAAAAATAGATTTGTGATACTGGAATAGATTTTTTTTTTTTACTATAAATTTAAATCCCCATTAATATGCCACTAAAGCTATGTAACTCAGTTTGGGTAATTTCTATTCAGAAGCACCCCCTTCCCCCAGCAAAGAGGTGTTTATTTTAGTAAAGCATAGTACACCCCTCTTCTTTAGGTCTGCCTGCAGTAGCCAGTTAATGTTAAGTTGGTAATCTGCAGTGCACACCCATTTAAAGAAATGGAGATCTTCCCAACACTAATCCATCTTCTTTTTGTTTCTTCCCACAGCGTTTGCTGCCAATTGATGGGGCAAATGATCTCTTTTTTCAACCACCCCCACTGACTCCTACCTCCAAAGTTTATACTATCAGACCATATTTTCCTAAAGATGAGGTAATTGTCTGCCTACGCACTTGGTATATGGTTATGGTGCTCACTTACTACTTTTCCTTTGAACTCCCTGGTTAAAAGAATCAGTTGTGGTGCTCTCTTTGCAGCAAAATTGGAACGATCCAGAGACGATTAGCATGACCATGACCCTTGTGCAAGGATGACACACAAACTGTGAAGCGTTCCATATTTTTAATTTAATTAATTAATTAATTTATTTGTTTAAAGATTTTATTTATTTATTTGACAGAGAGAGACACAGCGAGAGAGGGAACACAAGCAGGGGGAGTGGGAGAGGGAGAAGCAGGCTTCCTGCAGAGGAGGGGGCCTGACGCGGGGCTCGATCCCAGGACTCTGGGATCATGACCTGAGCCGAAGGCAGACGCTTAGACTGAGCCACCCAGGCGCCCCTAATTTTATTTTTTTTTTAATTTTTAAAAGTTTTTATTTGTTAGAGAGCACGAGGGGGGGAACATCAGGAAGAAGCAGACTCCCTGCTTGAGCAGGGAGCCCGATGAGGGACTTGGTTTCAGGACTTCAGGATCATGACCTGAGCCGAAGGCAGTCTCCCAGCCAACTGAGCCGCCCAGGTGCCCTATGTTCCATATTTTTAAAGGAAAAAAAAAAAAGTAGTTCTGTGTCTTCAAAAAGGTACTTTAGGTAGAAAAGTTAACTAAAACATCAAACACAGGAGGGGTGATTTTTTTAAGATTTTATTTATTTATTTGAGAGAGAATGAGAGACAGAGAACATGAGAGGGAGGAGGGTCAGAGGGAGAAGCAGACTCCCCGCCGAGCAGGGAGCCCGATGCGGGACTCGATCCCAGGACTCCAGGATCATGACCTGAGCCGAAGGCAGTCGCTCAACCAACTGAGCCACCCAGGTGCCCAGGAGGGGTGATATTTAAGGAAGAACCTGATAAAGAACTTAGACTCATAACATCTTGAGCTAAGTCCTTTAAGTCCTCTGTATGAAAATCAGCTAAATTGTATTTAGAATTGGAGTTAATCAGTTTGTCCAAATGATACGTTGTCCTTGACTGATTTTCTCTATTAGTAATTCTGTAATTTTCAGTTGTGAAGTATCAATAGGCTGTTGATAATCAGCTTACAGGAAACAGCAAGTCTGTTTAAAGACTAACATGTTTAAAACATTTTGGACATACACAAAACAGAGACTCAACAGCATTATTTGCTGCATTTTGAATTCACTGCTTAACTACCTAAAACTATCCCCTGTGAAGCAATTCTCTGTGTTTCCCATAACCATACTGTTTTCTACTGATATTAACAAATACAATTCTGTAAATAAATATTTAACAAAGCAAGGTGATATTTATGACAGGCCAGGCATTTTGTTATTCCCTATCCTAGAAGTCTGGTCTAACTTACAAGTCTATTGTTAAATTCTGTTGCTGTATTTCTTGCTTTGTTGCTTAACTAGATTATATTTTCAGGCTTCCGTGTACAAGATTTGCAGAGAAATGTATGACGATGGAGTGGGTTTACCTTTTCAAAGTCAGCCTGACCTTATTGGAGACAAGTATGTGATGAAGTATTTGGATTTGTTGGATTTGGGAGTAGCATTTCATAGCCAGGTTTATCAGGTTGAGGGGAAGTGATGAGTAGAAATAAAGTTTCCTAGAAATCCCACTTTAGTTTTAATAAAATTTGAATATATTAAAGGGTATTTTCAGTTTCTTCTTACACCAGATGTAGTTTCCATAGATTGCCATTCAAGTACATTAGACCTACATCACTGAAGTCTAAAGTTTTGTGTTAGAAACTCATTCTGCCCTCTTTTTCTGAGCAGGTTAGTAGGAGGGCTGCTTTCCCTCAGCCTGGATTACTGTTTTGTCCTAGAAGATGAAGATGGCATATGTGGTTATGCCCTGGGCACTGTAGATGTGACCCCCTTCATTAAAAAATGTAAAATTTCCTGGATTCCCTTCATGCAGGAGAAGTATACCAAGCCAAATGGTGACAAAGAACTCTCTGAGGCTGAGGTAATAACAGGTTTAGAGATTATACTACAGTAATTTTTCTTAAGTGAAGTAAGCAGATATATCTTAAAATCTCAGTGCTTTCTAAATTTCCTGTAAGAAAGAATTCTTGCTGCTGATTCTTAAGTGTGATACTTTTTTTTATATCAGACTTTTTTTTTTTAAGAGATTTATAATTTATTTAGAGAGCATGTGTGAGCGGGGGGTGGGGGGAGAGCAGAGGGAGAGGGACAAGCAGAGCCTGTTCCCAGAGCGGAGCCTGACACAGGGCTGGATCCCATGACCCCTGAGATCTTGACCTGCGCCGAAATCAAGAATCAGATGCTTAACCAACTGAGCCACCCAGGCGCCCCCCACTTAAAAAAAAAAAAAAGATTTATTTATTTTAAGGGGTAAGGGCAGAAGGAGAGAATGACTCCCCACTGAGCATGGAGCCCATTGGTTGCAGGGGCCATGGGACAGTTGGGGCTCAATCCCATGATCTGAGTTGAAATCAAGAATCAGACACTTAACGGACTGACCCACCCAGGGGCCCCCTTAAGCATGGCATTTTCCATTGTTCCCTCAGCATGATGGAGTTTTTTTATTTGGAAGTATTATAATACTTTTCAAGTAAAAACAAAATACAGACAGAGAACCTTTTTTTTTTCCTCCCTGTTTTGAAGCACCAAACTTAAATGGTCTCTTTCTTGGGGACTCAGGGCAAGTTTAGGTAATTAAAATCTCTCATTTGCTTGGTTGTCAGGCTCACTTGCCTTCTCAGTAATGTATTTTTCATTGTAATAAAAAAACAATAGGGGTGAGCTGCTCTGAGAGTCTGTTTTCAGATACGAGCACTTTTTTTTTTTAAGTAAGTTCCAAGCCCAGCATGGAGCCCAGTGCAGGGCTTGCTCTCATAACCCTGGGATCAAGACCTGAGCAGAGATCAAGAGTCAGATGCTTAACCAACTGAGCCACCCAGGCGCCTCCAGATAGGAGTACTTGTCATACGTCAGCCCTGTCCCACCTTCACTGAATTTTTCCTCTACAGTTACAGATATACATCAGCATATATATATATTTAAAAATAGTTCCTTTTTGATAATGTTTATGCTCAATAAATACTTTTAGATACATATTTGGAACCTTCTTTTTGTGACATTTATCTTTTTTCTTCCATGTTGTTCCTCTTTTCCTTTTCTGAAATTCTTTACTTCTCTTCCCCATACAAATGTACTTATATTCTCTTACAGTTTATTACTACTTTTTACCTTCTGCCCCTAGCCAGATGGCTGTGTTAAAAGAGGGTGGTGTGGATGGCCTCACTTACTCGGAATTACATAGATATTATAACTACAGTGTACTGATGATTGAGCTGTTGATGTTTTACTGTTCTAAATCTGATAATTATAGTTTTCAGCATAGGAACATATAAAGAATAACCAGGGTGTCTACTACAACATTTTTTACATGCACATTTTGTGCAAGCAATACAAACTTAAATTTTTAAAAAATTTTAAATATTTTTAGATTTAGCAAAGATAATACAGAGTTTCTATATGCCCCTCACCCATTTTCTACATTTGTCCAAGTCTTAAGAAACCAACTTTAATGCATTATTATAAATTCCACATTTTATTCACCTCTTTTTCCACTAATGTCCTTTTTTTGTTCCAGGATCCAATCCAGGATACCATATTACCTTTAGACAAACTTTTAAAAACAAAAATGCTAGAGTTATAAGCTAATTAATTCTTCATGTGATAATTACATAATGACTGGAAGAGTTATTGAATGTTGTTCTCCTTTTCCTATTGCTGGGTTCTATAGTTGGGATATAGATACATAATGACTAGCTGCTAAAAGTCAAGAGATTCTTTCAAATTTTTACAGAAAATAATGTTGAGTTTCCATGAAGAGCAGGAAGTGTTGCCAGAAACTTTCCTTGCCAACTTCCCTTCTCTGATAAAGATGGATATTCACAAAAAAGTAACTGACCCAAGTGTAGCCAAAAGCATGATGGCTTGCCTCCTGTCTTCACTGAAGGCTAACGGTGAGTACGTTATTTGTGTAGTTGCTGGTGTTTGGGCTAAGTGGGGACAGGATAAAAAGTAAATTATGGTGAATTTACATTCCCTTCCCCACCATTTATGGTTTGGCTTCTGAATTATTAGTGGTGTGAGAATTGCATGTGTATTAATAATTGGAAAATGCTCTTTGTTACACTATAAATGCTTGTTTTGAGCTCCGTTGAAATGAGACATGAACACATTGAGGTTAAATTTATTTTGCCAGGAGACTCACTATGATAATTGAAAATTAAATGAACCTTGGGGAGAAACTTCATTTAGGAATGCAGAGTTGCCAATTTTTTTGAGTTTGTTGGTCAAATTCAACCTTCAGAAATAGTTTGCTTTATATTAGTGGTATGAAAACTTTTTCTGTAAAGGGCTGGATAATAAATACCCTAGACTTTAAATTATTTATTTATTTATAAAGAAGATAGGAAGGGAAAAAAGGGGGGGAAATAATTTATTTTATTTATTTATTTATTTTAAAGATTTTATTTATTTATTTTGACAGAGACACAACGAGAGCGGGAACACAAGCAGGGGGAGTGGGAGAGGGAGAAGCAGGCTCCCTGCCAAGCAGGGAGCCCGGGATCATGACCTGAGCCAAAGGCAGATGCTTAATGGCTGAGTACACTCTATGTCCAGTGTAGGGCTTGAACTCAAAGTCACATGCTCTACCTAGTGAGCCAGCCAGATGCCCCTATATAATATATTCGTTTTTTACACAACCTTTAAGAAGTGTAAAAAACTATTTTTAGTTCTTGTCCAATACAAAAATGGACGGCTTGTTTGAGACCAATCCTTAGAGGGTTGTTGATACATGGGAATGCACTTATTTGCATCTTTGTATCATTTGAGTCAGTGGTGTCCCCTTTGTGGAATAATTTAAACAACTCTGAAGATAGCATAATTCTCAGTGTTGTGCTTTGGACAGAATCACGCAGGTATATGAGGTATGTCTTAGAATATACAACATACTCTGATTATATTGGCTTGTGACGTAGGCTGGAATGGCCTTTGCCCTTCGAAGGTACTTTGTATTAAAAACATTAAACAGGAGCGCCTGGGTGGCTCAGTTGTTAAGCATCTGCCTTCGGCTCAGGTCGTGATCCCAGGGTCCTGGGATCGGGCCCCGCATCAGGCTCCCTGCTCCACGGGAAGCCTGCTTCTCCCTTTCCCACTTTGCCCTGCTTGTGTTCCCTCTCTCACTGTGTCTCTCTCTGTCAAATAAATAAATAAAATCTTAAAAAAAAAAAAAAAAATTAAACAGAGGTATTCTTTGCCTTGCTCCATGTATTTTATTTTGAGGTTTCTTAGCCTTTTCCTCAAAAGATTTTCTTTCTGAGGAAGAGTTTCACTGACAGTTGAATTTTTTTTACATTGAGATATTTTTGACAGTTAAGCATTGTATATATTTAAAGTGTACAATTTGATGATTTGAAATCGTGAATAATCACATTCAAGCTAGTTTAACATATCCATCACTGAAGATAGTTGCCACTGCAGTATTTGGTATTGATAAATATTAATATTCATTGAATATTAATATGAATTTTAAAAATTGTGTTATGAAATTTAGGAGCTGTTACAGACAAGTTCTACTATCATCTATTTGAAATATATTAAAAATTCATCACAATTCCTAGCCATGATTCGAACTGACCTTTACATTTTTGAATATTTGTTTTATTTCTAGGCTCCCGCGGGGCTTTCTGTGAAGTGAGACCAGATGATAAAAGAATTCTGGAATTTTACAGCAAGTTAGGCTGTTTTGAAATTGCAAAAATGGAAGGATTTCCAAAGGATGTGGTTATACTTGGTCGGAGCCTGTGACATTTGTTGGCACTTTGAACTGTCCAAAAGTCTCTTAACTTCACCTGGTGGGTGGTGGTTGGGGTCTTCATACAGTTGAGCCTCTGGAGTGGCAACAAATCAGCCAATTGGGATTGGAAACGAAGACTGTGTAAAACTCACCAATCACACTTTGAGATTACTCACTGGTTGGAAGATAGTATTGATGCAAATCCTGTTTGAAACAGATGTGGGCCTCCTTTCTGGGTCTTGTGTTAGGTGCCAAGACCTCTATATGGGCTTATAGGGAGGGGGTCTTCAATAAATGTAGTCAGCACTGTGTTCTGCATCCAGTGTGGTTGCATTTCTCATCTAATAAGAGTAATCAAAATCATTTGTCATCCTCTTTGGCTTATTGAATGAAATGTCTTTCATTCTTTGGGGACATGTCAGAAATGAGAAAGATTTAGTAGGTTTCAGAGGCTTCAGGGTAGAGATTCCAAGTGGGATGATTGTTGGCATAGTTTTAAGCTTATGAATAAATGATTTTAATTTGGGGCAGTTTTTCTGCTCTTTGTAAAGCCATGGCCAATTGTCTCTTGTAGTGACCATTGGTTCAGGCATGTTGTGCTTTTGTAGGGACAATTGTGCAGTTGTTTGTGGCAAAAGCTTAAAAATGGCAAACTTGTAAATTTTTGTATATAAACTAGTTGTAACCTGACTTTTGTGTTCACTGTTTTTGTAATTTTTTTTTCTTTTGAAAATGAAAGGGTGTGGTTCAGGATGGCACTTTGAATAATGTAAATCAGTGGAAGATGGATTTTCTTTACTTTTCCCTTTGTTTTGTTTGTTTTTTGGGGTTTTTTTGTTTTTGTTTTTTTTTAGAAGTTGTATTATTTTTGAAGTGCCTCCCACCTAGGGCTAGGCCATGACCACTTTGGGTACGAGAGCCTAACTTCATGGGACTCAATCTGTTGCAAGGTGCAGTCACTTCTGGAAATTAACCTCGATGCAGGTCAGCATGTGAAATGTTAGTTTTGACATCTGTCAAGTAGGGTTCAGGGACTGATTGGTCCCATATGCCCTGAGATCAGTGTCCTTTAATGTCAAGACCTGTTACAACTGGTTTTATTAAATCAGAGTCTTTAATTCTTGCATGTTTGTATCTAATTTTTAAAAGAAACAATGAGCACACTTTAACCAATGACTTATGGTTACCCTTTTCTTTTTCCTTTAACCACAGATTCTGAAAGCTCCATGTATTTTGATTTAGATTTGGTGTTTTTAGGGGTTCTGAGCATGAGGCTAGCAGGTAATCTCTGCAGGATTCATTTTTTCATCATGACTGGCTGGCTTTTCCATGGATTCAGAACAGTATTTTGTTATCTTGCTTCCCTGCAGTTTTGTTAAATCGGCTGTTTTACTTTGATCTGAGGTGGGAGGGGCAAGGAGAAGGAAACCTGAAACATTTTCCTTCATGAAGTTCCTTCAGTGTGGGCTTGGAACCTTATCTTAAAGCATTGTACCTAGTGGTATCTAGTGACTTTCAACCAGGGCCTGTGAGTGTGCACTGAATTTGTAAGATGAAGGGAGGGGAAGAAGGAGACCTCTTCATTTTCAGGGTAGAAACCTTTAACTGATAGAAGGGTATGATGTTGGAAAGCTGGAACCAAGTTTGCATTTTCAAGGGCTAGGGGGAAGGGAAGATCTCTACAAAATACTGTTTAAAACAGCTTAGTGCCATTTGGTTGTCTCTTTTAAGTACATGTTGTACACTAGTAGACAGTTCTAGCATTTATCTGGAGGATTTCAGGGTCAACCTATGGAATCAGGATTTTTAGCAAGTTTGCTTGTGGTTTTATCTTGGCTTTATAATAATCATTTGGCTGGTCTTCTGGTCATAGATGCTAACTATGAAACAGATGTCCAGGCCTATACTTTCATCACTCTAGGATGGTAAAGTGCTACGCTCTCTTCTATGGTTATGAATATTTATTAAGGTTGGAATGACATTTCATTGATTGTTTAGATCACAGCTCAGTTCCTGTAGAAAACGAACTGTAAAACTATCTGAAGACCATGCAAGAGGCAAAATAAAACTTGAAGTGAACGTGTGTGGTGGTGTACTGTGTAAACCTACTTCTTGTTTCTGCCTGGTACCTTTTCTCCTGCCTTTCATGCCTCATCTATAAGCACGTATTCTCCACAGCTGTTCCAAGTTAGGGGCTGCATCTTCCCATTCTCATCTTCAGCAAAAACACTTCCTTCCAGATTTCCCTCAAGGCAAGCAAGGTAAAAGATGAAAGTAGACTAGTCTTGGCCAAGCCACTCTCTTTCCCACAATTAACAGCCTGGGCGTGAGTTAGGGCAGCTAGTTTGAATGAGTTCCCTTAATCTAGTGGGATAAGGAGTACAGTTTCAGTTTATCAGATTGGTCAAAAGGTGAATGATGGGGGTTGGAGAGTTGCCCTGCCCAAACTATGTGACAGGAGTCTAAGGTGGAAGGATGTTTGGGTTGATTCGTAATAAGCTCCAAAACGTGCCTGCCAGGAGTAGCATCCCCAAATCTGATGTGATATCCTTTGCTAGCAAGCTCCAGCATCAAGGCAGCATCTGAAGCTTAATAAAGCTATGCCTTCTGGATAGTAAACTTAAGGTTGTTAGAGCAGGAAGCATACTAGGAAGAGGACCGAGTAGTTCAAATAGAAAATACCTGTAGCTGAAGTCTTTCAGGATCCTCGGCTCTCCTGGAGCAAAGGCAAATAGCATGATTCCTTTGCTTTCATAAGAAAAGCGCTGCCCTGAAATTCGCCTTTACAAGGGGAGTTGGAAGTGTTTACACTTTTGTATCTATTCTCCCTTTAACGAAAGCTTACCTGGATCGGGGGAGTGGAGACAGCAGAGGGTGAGAGGAACTAGAGAAAATGGAGGCAGGAGCCACCTTCGGGAGCCGTGGTCATGGAAGTAAGCAAGGGTATTAACATTAAAAAGAAAAATCCATGCTTCTGTGATGTTACTCCCCGCAGTCCCGACACAACAGTCTGACCAGAGGCCGGACTGGCTCCCCAGGACCGGTTGTGCCCCGGTCCCTTCTCTCTCAAACGCCAGCGGCTCCTTTAATGGGCGGGGCCGGAGCCAGCGACGAGTCCCTCCGCTTTGTACGTGTCGGGGGCGGAGTTCCCAGACGGCCCTTGCAGCATGGCCGCCGGCGCCGCCGCCGCCTTAGCGTTCCTGAGTCAGGAGAGCCGAGCCCGGGCCGGAGGGATCGGGGGTCTGCGGGTCCCGGCTCCGGTCACGATGGACAGTTTTTTCTTCGGTATTGAAGAAAGGAGGGGATGAAGGTGGTGCTGGGGCGGTCGGACAGGGCTGAACAGGAATGCAACGTGGGTGAACACGACGTGGGTGGGGGCGAAGGGGGCCCCCCCGCACGCTGCAGCCCAAGCGGAAGGGGGCGGTGCGACCCCTTCTCCTTATGTGCAGGGAGGGGCCCAGGGCCGAGTGCCCCAGGTGTTCCTAAGAAGTGGGCCCGTAAATGGCCGGTCTGACCTTGGCTACACGTGACAGAGGTTTGGTGGAACGCTCAGACACACACTGTTACCTCTTACAGGCTGTGAGCTCTCCGGCCACACCCGCTCTTTCACCTTCAAGGTAGAAGAAGAAGATGATTCGGAGCATGTGCTGGCTTTGACCATGGTGAGGGGCGGGGAAGGGTGGTGAATAGTTGGTCCAGAGCAGGCAACTCGGGGGCCTCCACCTGTCCCCCCAATCCCTTTTACTGGGAGTCACCTCTTCCTGACCCCCACATGGGCGATTCCCTGGCTAGGTGATCCGGGGACCACTGGGGCGGGGCAAGTTCTAGGGTAGATGCTTCCACTTGTGGTGTCAACCCTTGTTTGGGGAGACCCAGAGGCCCTGTGTACCCTTCCCAGCTCTGCCTCACTGAGGGGGCCAAAGATGAGTGTAATGTGATAGAAGTCGTGGCCAGGAATCATGACCACCAGGAGATTGCAGTCCCTGTAGCCAACCTCAAGTTGTCCTGCCAACCCATGGTGAGTTCCCCTGCCATGCTGGGTGATGGAGGTGGGGGGTAGGGCTAGGGGTGGGGGTGAGGAATTGAGGACTCAAGGACTAACTCATCAGGAGGTTGGGCAGGCCAGGCCTTCATCCTTGTCTTCCTTCCAGCTCAGTTTGGATGACTTCCAGCTCCAGCCACCTGTAACCTTCCGCCTAAAGTCAGGTTCTGGCCCTGTGCGGATCACTGGGAGGCACCAGATTGGTGAGAGCCCTCTCCTTTGCCTCTAGTGGATTCTCCATCAGGTCTCCCCCACTGCTTCACACTCCTGCCCCATCCCAGACTTATCTCCTAGTGCAGGTCCCATACAGGCTATACCCTCCACTTTCTGTCCTACTCGAGCCTACCTCCTGCATGAAACCTGTCCCAACTTCTCCACCTCCATTAATGTGGTCTCCTTTAGCTCTCTGTCATCTTAGTATCTGAGGTTCTTCCCACCTAGATCATAAGCTCTGGGAGGTCAGGGTCCCTGCAAGCCTGGCACCACAGGGCATGAATAAATGACATATGGTATGAAGGGGGTCTGGCTTGAACCTCCTCTTTCTTTACTGCTTACATTTCCACCAGTTACTATAAGCAATGACGTTTCTGAGGAAGAAGAGAGTGAAGAAGAAGGTAGTGAGGAGGAGGAAGCTGAGTTGTGCCCCATCCTGCCTGCCAAGAAGCAGGGGGGTAGGCCCTAGCCTCCTTGGTGAGTTGGGGGAAGGGGTCCAGCAAGGTCTGGGATGAAGTAGGACAAGCAGGTGAAGGCCTAGATGCTGACCCCTTGTTTGCTCTTCTCAGGTCAGCTAGCTACATGTGCCATGCACCATGTTCCTGTACAAGTTTCAAGAAATTTAAATGTGTCTTCTCCGTTGAAGAGGATGGGTGGGTGGGTGGGGTCTTGGGCTGGTGCTAGGAGAGAGGGTGGTCCTATCCCTCATAGAGCCCTGGTATTTTTCTAATCTTATGCCCTACCTGGGACTTCCCTTTTCTCCAGGATTGGGAGGAACTCTGAACTTCTGTCCTCACCCTCTCTCCCCACTTGCCTATGAGATTGGAGATCAGCATCTGAAGCTCAGGACTGCACATTTTTAATACTTTTTACATTTTTGGATAAAGGTTGAAATAAAGTGATATGGAGTTTTTTGCAACTCATTTGTGTGGCTTCTTTACCTGCTGGTGTGGCATTCCCCTAGGGACCACCAGGTGGCACTGTGGCAGCATCGAGGGTGGCCCTGGGCCTGGGGAGGGTGAAGAAATGTGGGATCCTGCTATCCCTAGGACCCCGGGGGCAGGCCAGGCCTGGGCCCCAACTGCCTTGCTAAAAGAGGACCTCCCAACACCAAGCCCATTCCCAGTCCCTACAGGTGGGGGAGGGCCATCCCAGGAGGTTATCAGCATCCAAACAAGGGGCTTGGGCCTCTGTCAGCACTCAGGCTGATGGGCAGGGGGGCAGATAAGGGGGCTTAAGCAGTCCAAGGAATGTGCATCCCTAGATCCACGAAGGGGCTCAGGCCCTGAGAGGGCCTGTGAGGGGTAGGGCAGAAGCCAGTCTTTACTCCTCCTTCCAGTCTTATGGGCTGTCTCTGAGCGGGTCTGGGCCCTTAGAAACCTGATTCCGGGGGCCAGATGGAGGGGGCTGGCCAGATTGGGTGACAGGGAAACCAGAATCCGGGTGGCCTGGCATATGGGGGCAGAGAGGGGCTCCTGGGATTCAGCCTCCTGGGCTAAGGGGTTCCTGATTCCCAGCACATTGCCTGGTCTGGGGGTCTCTGGTGCCCGTAATCAGGTGTTCTGAGGTTTGACTGCTCCTAAGCCAGGAAGAGAAAGGGAAGTACCTGGTGTGAGCATTCGTGTGTATGTGACCAACTCTGGGGTCAGCAGTTCAGCAGCTGTGTTGATGTGGGGTGGGGGGCGCGTATTTCAGTGTCCCACATACAAACAAACAAACAAGAGGTTAACTCCTGAGACAGCCTGGGGCCAGACATGCTGAGGATGGACAAAGTACAGTGCCTGGTGGGGTGTGGGGTGGTAGGGCCAGGCCCACTCCCTCCCACACTGGCTGCTGGGCAAATGAGTGAACAAGTGGGAGGGGTCCCTAGGTAACCCGAAGAGGCTGGTATTGGGGCAGGTAAGGTAAACTTTGGGGAGTGTCCCACAACACGGAAAAGCATTCCCACTTCAACACACATCCCTGGAGTAGGTTCCCCCCTCCCCGTGGTGAGGAGCTCTAACTTCCCTTTTCTCTCAAGTTGAGGATAAAGGAAGATGATATCTCTCTGTGTTGCAGTGATCGGGGTCGCAGGCCCCTTTCTCCTCTCCAGGAGGGCTTTGCTGAAGTGCTTCCATCGGGAACGAGAGTGGTGGGCCGACCAGGCTCCAGACCATTCACCTTCCTGTGGCAGGGGTCCCGAGGGAGGGGGGAATTGCAGCTAGCGCCCTCTGGTGGGCGAGATTGAAACCGCCTTTGGCCGTGGGCTCCCCACGCCGCCTTGCAGGGGGGGCTACGTGAGTGATCTCGCCCGTGAGTGGCCTGGGGTGCCGAAGTTTAGGCTGAAAGCGAGGAGTACGTCACTGAGGCTGACTGTATTGGTTCTTTGATTGCTTGCTTGCTTGATTGATTCGTTCGCTAGAAGAGCTCTTGTTAGAGCCCTTCTCTTCTTCCTCTCACCCATAACCTCCAGAGGCCTCGGCACGTGCTTGGTTGGGGGCGCGGGAGACTGGCTGAGTGCAGCGAAAAGTCATCTCTGGGGGAAGCCTCCCCAACCCACCCATCTACGCCCTGTGCGTGGCCCAGCTCGGACAGTTACCCCCTGCGAAGCCGCTGAGCGCTCATTGTAAGCCTTGACTGTTTGCTGGGTGGCTCTCCCCGCGACCCAGGCAGGCGCCGAGCGCGCTCCTGCCCGCAGTAGGGGCCCAATCCACATCTTCCCCTTCTTGCAGGACTTTCCCGGCCCGAAGGGGCGCCCGGCCGACAGAGCCGCGAACTGTTTTTTCTCCCTCTCCGCCCCGCCTCTCGGTGCCCGTTCTGTCGGCTCAGCGCACAGTAGGAGCACTGCCAATTCGCTTTGGCCGGGAGCACTGAGGGATGAAGGCGTCCGCCGGGGTTTGCAGACTGCTGGAGGACGGGCAGGCCTGTATTCGGGGGGCGAGGGAGACGACTCCCAGGCAGCGGCCCCAAGTGCTTAACGTAGTCTCGGCGATTTGCATTTGAACAGTCGGTGGAGAGTCGGCGGCGCTTTGAACGCCAGGCGCCGGAGGCGCACAGGGGAGCTCTCGGCAGTCCGGGCGGCCCCGCGCCGGCTGGTGTGGATGTGAGGGGCCCAGGGTGGGCCGGGGGCGAGGGATGCGTTCGGAAAGAGGCTGAAGGTGTGTGTTTGGGTCCCTGCGAGGGCGTGTTTGCGGAGAGGGGCTGTTTGTGTTGGCGAGGAGTGTGTGTGTTTGCAGGAGGCGAGGGCGAGGGTGAGGGTGTGTGTGTGTGTGTGTGTGTGTGTGTGTGCGCGTGTGTTTGCGGAGTGTGGGGGCGGCCGGGAAAGGTGGCCGGGCTGTCACTCAGCGATCAGGTTGACAGGCGCTCCCTCATCAGGGCTGGGGAGCTCTGATTGCAGATTCGAGGAAACAAAATAGCAATTGTAATTACGGGGCTTTGATAAGATAAAGGAAGGAGCGAGCTGGCCGGGAAGGGAGCAAGCGAGGGAGGGAGAGAGTGGCTTGCTGGGGCCCCGACGGAATATTTGCATCTGTCACTCACCGGGCGTGCCCGGGCGGTGCCGGCGCCCTACGTGAGGGTGTCCCCATCTGCTCCCTCCCCCCTCCCCCCACACCCCCACCACAAGACATAGACTTTTGGGGAGATGAGAAGAATCTCTAAAACTGATGAGGGTTCATTTCGGGGGAAGTTGTCAAAATGTAAAGGAATTCTGTCCTATAGAAAGGCCCCTTGATAGAGGTTAAAGTGTATACTAAAACCTTGACCTCCACACTTTTAGGTCCCAGGACGTCCATCTCTTCTGGGGAGTGGGTTAAGATCATTGAGGCTCAGCTCAGGGACTTCAGAACCAGGGTTGTGGGAGCTCCAGAACCAGGGTTGGACCTGAGTCAGATGCTCTCTGGCCTCCACCCCCACCCCAGGGAAGGGCTGGTGCCCAGAGTGACTCCAGTTGTAGCTCCAAGACTATGCACGCTGAGCATGGGCTAGACTGCCCTGACTCCGGCCTGGGTCCTGCTCCACGCTGTTCTCATCAGACTGTTTACAGAGGGCTGAGTCCCCAGTGGGGAGAAGGCCCTTCCCACCCTCTGCTCTCCATCTCTCCATTCACTCATTCATTCATGCACACAAATAAACATTTTCAGGGGCCTACTATGTGCAGGGCATGCGTTTAAGATGGTGAGCATCCTGCCTGATTGCAGCAGTACAACTGGGGGGTGGAGATTCGGCAAGCAGCCTGCAGGCCTCTAAGACAGAGGACAGTAAGGAAAAGAGCTGGTTTGGGCTGTGGGCACCAGAGCCCACCTCACCTGTCTCCCTTCTAATGGGCTCACCTCTTAGTGGGGTTGAGAGGAGACAGTGCAAGTCCAGCCTTTAGCAAATACGAGTGCTCAATAAATAGTGGTGCTTATGATTATTATCCGAAGGCAAGTCTTCCTGGGGAAGCCACTCCTGGGCTGAGGTCTAAAGTCTCAGCCAGTTTCTTCATTGTTCATTCATCAAATGCCAACTGCAGAACAACCCTGCCCAGGCCAGTGCCATGAGCTGCAAGTTCCGATCTAAAAGACGTGGTCCTTGCCTGGAGGTCTGTGTGTGCAAGAGCCAGAAGAGTGAACAGACTCCTGGAGCGGGGGGTGGGGGGACACGGGACAGGAAGGCTCAGGGAGTCTCCTTCTCTGAGGAGGGATGAAGTCTTGAGACAAGTCCTCTGACTGTTCTCCCATCTATGCATTGCTCAGTGTTGGCATTATGGCTGGGAGTAGGAACAGGTGGGGCATCGGGACAGGTGAAGCACGGAGAGAGGGAAGGTAGGCAGAACTTGATTGTACTGCTGGGCAAGGACCTGCCTACTGCCCCTGGCCTAATAGCTTCCCGGGACCACCCCAACCCCTCCAGTCCAACCCCCAAGGACATGGGGTGCCAGTGGGGCAGGGGAGGTCGTGGGTGGATGCAGCAGCTGGGTAGGGCATCATTGGCTCAAGCTGCTCCTCAGAAATGTCAGTCCCAGGGCGTCTCTGCCCACCCAAGCTGCTGCCAAAGAAGCACCATGGCTCAGGGTTTCCAGAAGCCTCTGGGGGGGAGCAATGAGGGGCTGGGAGAGGCCTGGACACTACTTCCTTCAGGGACCCCCCCCATGCTTGACACAAAGCACCAGTCCACGTCTAGTCCAGTAGGTGTGTAAATGCCTCAGTGCACAAATACTGAGGCTCAGAGAGGGAAAGGCAGGGCGGCCTGGATCTGAGTCTCTTCTCCAGGAAAAGCAGCTCACAGTCGTTATTTTTGCCCCCTCCGCCTGCTGCTCTGGGAGGGCGGCAGCGACTATAGGTCCTGCCAGGGACCCACAAGGGTGGCTCATGGTGCCTCTCAAGCTTCAGGTTAGTGTGTGGGGGACGGACGCAGGAGTGAAGGTGATAGTAAGGGAGGGGACATTCCTCGCTCTCAGGGTCTTTTTGGAGACGGGGCGAGACAGAAGAGACCCGCAGCAAGGGTTACTCAGCAGAAAGGCGGGGGTGGGGGTTCGGGTCCCCGTCGCAGGGAGCGCACAGCCATTCCCTCCCGCGTCAGCGGCCACTTCCAGGGGACACACAGGGCCGAAGCACACAGTAGGTGGCTCAGAGACCCGCCGCCTAGTCTGAGGCATAAGCGGACCCGGCCCCACGGTGGAGACTTGGCACCTTCCGACCCCGGCGCACCCGCGGTCCAAGAAGCCCAAGCCCGAGGCGCCCCCCCACCCCCCATCCCCGCGGGTCCAGACCCCTAGAGCGCGCAAGGGGTCAGCCCCGGGATGGGGGGGAGGCGTCCCCACCGGCCGCCCCCCGCCCCTCCCGCCGTCCTCAGACCCCTCCCCTAGCCCAGACCCCCAATCCCAGACCCGCCGGCCGCCCCGCCCCGGTCCGCCCCGCCCCCGCCCCGGGCTGCGTCCGGGCCCCAGCTCCCAGCCGG